GATGATTATATCGTGTTAATGTTATCCATACCCATATGATATCCATTATCCGAGGTGTATATGACGTATGTGTGCTCGAGCAGAGAGTTGGTGTCAAGAGCCTCGATGACGTCAGAGACGAGCTCGTCAACGCTCAGCAACGCCTCCCACCGCGAACGGTAAACGCGGTCCAGCTCCGACAACATGTTGTCTGGTAGTGGAGACGGCGGCATTGACAGCAGCCAGTGGCGGTCCTGTTAATTTACATACCCTAAAGGAACAGTCAAATATCCGTATTTCCGATTGTTTCGTTCTGTAAATGTGCCGGAGGTACCAAAACCGATGCCTATTTTGTTCACCATTTACCATCCACAAATTGTGAAACCGCATTAAACGGAAACGAAATAAGAATTGAACTAGTTTTTATATTTTAAAAATGTTTTTAATCTAAGGAAAGCTGGTTGGTAGAAGATCATACCTTGGTAGCTATATTAAAGTTAGGCGCGCGGTGTGCGGTGACATTGGCGAAGACGCCTTTGTGTCTGGGCGCGGGGGTGAAGGGCTGGTGCGGTGCGGGCGGGGCCAACACCATCATAAACGGTTCCGATCCCGTCTGGTTCTCGATGTAGCTGATACTCAGATCTCTCTGATTACACAAAGCAAAAATAGTCTCAATTTATACACACATTTTACGCTTAAAACACGCAAATTCCGTAGTATTTTTAACAAAATTAGCGGTTGTCAAATATTTTTTTTCTGCTACGAGAAAATGATGGTGCGGATATTACCGAGCTCCTGAATAATCAAAGAGTAACCACTTCGAGTTTTATGCTTCCTAAATTACAATCAAGAAAGATTACTAGGAACCAAAATTAGCTAGTTTAATTTAACTCTTGAAGGAAATAATCCGGCTCGAAGGACCATATGTTTTAGCGTGTGGACTGTATGTAATATAAAAGATAATAGGTACAAAATATATGACAACGATGTTTAGAATCGCAACCATAGGACGTGGTGTAAGCACAAAGCATTGATACTTACAATAATATCTGTGAGGTAGAGATCTGTGGAGTGCGTTGGTACACCGTTGTTAGATATTGTATAGTTGTAATAAACAGAGTTGCCAACCAGACCGTGCCATTCTGACCACCCAGGCGGGATTTGTTCAGGTCCGCCCGCCGCTTTTACCCCGTACTGTAAATAAACAATTGAAAAAAATCTGACTGACACTGTGAATACAAATAGATTGACATCTCGCTCTTATAATCCTTCCAGACGTTTGGTAGATCATTATGGAAGAGACATGAAAAAGCCATCTTGTTAATTGGACCATAATAAAACACACTTGAAGCAAATTTCTAACCATATCATGTAGTCTCTAGCATACTAACATTCACAAAATTTTAGGTTTTTTTTTTCACAGATTTATGACAATCTTACCTCATTCAAGTACTTTCCGGCATAAAATGTCTTGTACCCTGCATCGTAAAGCGTGGTAGCGAACGTTCTAGACTCAATATTCTTCCAGATACGTCCGTAGCAGCCGCCACTGATGCTATTGTTGACTGTGAGATGGTTGTGTACGTACATGCCTGTTAGAAAGCTCGCTCGGCTTGGGCAGCAGATCGGCGATGTTACGTACTAAGATCGTATTAATACATTATGAAAGCCATTTACCATAGGTTTCTGAGACAAAATCTCTGTATAAAACATATCGTTGACAAAACTGATATAACATGGTTTAAACGGGGATTTTGATCTCGGAAACCTAGATTAAGAAATCTTTAAAATGGTTATGACAAGTCTGCCATAAAATATATTATCTTTTAATGCAATAAAGTTTTTTCTATATATAATGAATAAAAACATAATATAAATCATTTTAATGTGCGGCCTTGGCTTTAAAATTAATTGTGCGGCCTTGGCTTTAAAATTAATTACTATTGATTGATTGTTTAAATTATTCTTTTAAAATACTTTAATGGAAGTTTCGTTTATAAATTTAAGAAATATATGTACTTGAAGTTGTTTGAAACAAAAATAAATTAAGAAAAATTCTTCATGGATTATTATCTTTATCATCTGTCTCATAACATATACTCAATGTTGATAAAATTTATCAGTACAACAAAATTATTAAATTGATAATTTTTAATGTTGCCTTGAACTTAATGACAAAACTTAAAAGTTTAACTTACAGCATTTTTAAACGTGACTCCTTTATCACCGATGAACCGTTGTACATTCTTCATTGGATTCTGAAAAGATATAAATAAAACAACAGAATTTCTTTGAACACAATTTTATTTGCTTAATAAATATCTAGATCTACTAACCATTCCACCGAGAGTTGAATCCTGATCATCGGTAAGGATGATAAGAAAATTAGGTCGCGACGCATCTTCGCAAACTACACTTGAAATAACTAACATAAACAGATATTTAATCATTTTTATATTTTCTTAATTATTTATAATTTAAAATAAGTAAAATATATTTATTGTGGCACTGCAGGCATCACTTCTAAGCCTGTACACTCGCTTGCAATCACAACACCCACTGTGAAGAAACCTACGCTCTTCACAACTGACCTGAAAGATAAGAATTATATAAATAAATAAAAAAAAACACATATCAGTTACAAGTGTTGGCATTTCATTAAAGTACGATAAAACTTAATCGCTAATACACACAAGTACAATTCACAGATGCTTAAACAATTCAACTTCAGAAAAAGACAAAATTTTTGAAGCAGCAATATTTCTGTTTGTATGGAGATTCAAACAGAACAGAAATTAAGACTGAACTGCAACTACTGTAATGTCATGTTAGAAACATTGTATGCATATTTTTCTTAACAATATGAAGCGTAATAAATGTTTAATTTCACACTATTGTGCTTCGAACAATGGAAGTGAGATAATGTTCTGAATTATACTAATGTACAATGTATGCAGTCATATTTTTGTAATCATAGATAGGACTTACAGTTTTCCTGCTAAAGAAGAAAGAAATAAAACATAACTGAAATATTTTTTCTCGTTTGATTTAAATCAAAACAGACTTTGAAACATTAGATGATTTACTACATCATTTGTTCATTTTTAAAATTTATAATTTAGCTAGCGCGTACCATCTTTCGACCAAATCTCCACTTCTCATCATGGTCAAGCGCTAGCTTATAAAACGTAAAAAAAAATGAAGAGGGTAGACATAAATAATAGCAGAGAAAATATTAACATGACACAAAATTGTGCGTGAGTTTAAAAAAATGGAATTATAGGAAGAAATGATGATATTTTGCCAGGTGATAAACCTACTTCAGTTCAAAAGTAGAAATAATGCATCAATTGCTTCTTTGAAGAAAAAATGAAGAATTTACATTATAAACAATATCACACATCAAAATCAATTAACCTAAAGCAAATTTATCTTACAATGTCGCCGCATCTACTATTGAAGCGTAATTGCGAAGAAATAATATGCATACATTGTTAGTTGGTTGACAATGGGTGTTTTATAAATAACATTATATGAATAGAAATAATACTTATTCCTTGGTGTATACGTATGATTTAGAAATTAATAATGTACGCTTACATGCATTTATTTTTAAAATAAGATAATTTGTCCTAATTATGTTTTGGAATAATCACATTTCCAATAGGTTATAATAACTCACCATTTGAAAGGGTCATAATAAAAGTCTTTTAAGAAGGCGACGACACCAGTTTTGCCCATTATTTTTACTGGAACAATTGATTTAATATTTCAAATAACAGTTCTTGAATTTATGCAATAAAATTCAATGATTTAAATTTAAATTAGCCACAACGAAAATACAAGGCTATTCAAGGAAACTGAACAGGACACATGACAGCAGATAAAAGTCAGCCACAGACTTACTGTATCTATGGTAGCATTTTATTCTGTCTTGGCTTTGTTGTTGTTGACTTTATGCTCTTTGACGTTTGCACTGACGGTTTTGTGACGTCTTGTTTTAAAAAACCGTTTTTGAAAATCGAAAATATTTAGCTATGTTAAAATTTAAAGATTATTTTCTTCGTACCTAATTTTAACTATGGAAGAAAATGTCACTGATAATGATAATGAAGTGTTTGTAAACGCCACAATTGATGGAGATTCTCGGTCGGCGGTTAATTCACTTATTTTGGATTACTATCAAAAGTTTGGCAAGAAACGTGATTTAGAACAGTTTTTTTCATTGTCGACTGCTGATAACGATATTCGTGACCCGTCTAGTTTATTTTGGAGGAAGATGAAAATGCAGTCAGATTCCTCTGACTCTGGTGAAGGTAAAGCTGGAACATCTACAGAGTTGTGTAGGATATCAATCAAATGTTCTGTCCCAGAACACTCAAGTTCTCCGGTAAGTATATATTTCACTTGACATTTCTCTCATATATGAAACTTACTGATATTATATTTCTCAAACAAATCATATAAGTAGCTAGTTATTTTGAATTTCTCATTCATTTATATCTAGTTGTTGATTGTTATGTTTTGTCATTTTTCAGGATGATACTCCAAAGTCAAAAGATGATTCTACATCACCTCCTATAATCATTGAAGAAGCCACATCTCCATTACAGACAGACCACCACTCACCACCTCACTCAGATAATGAATCGGTCAAATCTGATGATAACAACTCTCAAAAATGTAAAGCATATTTTGTACATAGTAACTTAACATATTTATTGTAAACTCGCCCTTTGAATTCATTGAAATCTTACTAATATTATAAATACAAATGTTTAGATGGATGGATGGATGGATGTTTGTTGCAAGATATGTTTAGAATGACTGCATGGTTCTCAGTGAAATTTGGCAAAGATGTAGAACGATGTATGGAAGAACATATAGGCTACTGGTTAAGGTTTAATTCCGCACAGACTGAGTCAAGGGTGAAAGCTAGTGTGGATAAAACTTGTGTAAATTAGATTAATAGTGAATCTACATGTGTTAAAATTCTTAACTTCACTTACAATTACTTCAGACCACAATTTCGAGTTTGTAGTAAAATCTGTTTAACTTCACTAGAGTTTTATTTAATGTGTTACAAATTTTTTACAGCAATTGATCCACAATTAGAAACCTCTGTTAACAAACCATTCTCACCAACTAGTAGTATAACATCACAACGTAAGCTAGAATGGGATTCTTTAGGTGACGTTGGGTATGGCAATGAGAGTGACAGGAAGACATCTGGATCTGGACTTAGCACATTAGAGAGACTGGCACTACATCAACAATACTCTAATAATGATCCTATGAATGATACAAAATATGGTCTGCCAACATCACAATCAACACCACTAGAGTCTAATATACCACATAAAAGTAAAAAAGGAAATGTAAAAAAAACTACGAAAATATATAAAAAAGATGTTGATTTCGTAGAAGTAAAAGTTCCTAATACATCTGAAAGCACAGGATCAATTAATGTTAATTTGACAAAGCATATTTCTTTTAATGTTGACAAAGATGGTGATGTAACAGTTCAAACATCAAAAGATAATGATTTGCCTGAAAAAATTTCAGTGGTCACCGAAATGACTCCTCAAGTGAGAATAGATAAAGAAATACAAACAACTTTGCCACATAATAGCACTAAAAAAACAATAAGTTTGTCTGAGAACCAACAAAATGAGCATATAAATGCACGTAGGTTACCAATATTACTCAGTTTAAACACATTAAGAAAAAAGAAAAGAAGAAAGAAACTTACAATATATAGAAAAAAAATTAACAATAGAAGCAAGAAAAAGAGTAATTCATCCAATTTACATGAGAAAAATGGGGAACAAATATCTGCAGCTGAAAGCTTTGAATATATGCCTGGTCATATATATAATCAAAATCAAGTAAATAACAGCAATAAAAATTCAAATAGCGTCGGGAATAAATCAAGTCTCGAATCAAGTGTTGGCTTTACAACTGACTCCAGTAAGACATCGAAAAATTCATTCACAAGAGATTTAGAAAAAAGTATAAATCTACTCAAAGAGGCTTTACAATCAAAATATAACAATACAAATATAAAAGAAAAATTAATCAAAGAAGTAGTACAAAGATTAATAAAATCTCAATACAGTGATGATGACAGTGGTACAGTTTTTCTATCAGGTTTGAGTTTCAATAGTAAACATTTGGGTCTTCAAAAAAGAAGTAATAATACCACAAGTAGCACATCAGACGGTAATGAAATTGATGGTAAACATTTAAAGAAGCCAAAAAAATCTATTTTACGAGTCGACAAATTTAACCCTAGCGGTATGGCATCTACATCACAAAGTACTCCTAATTTATGTACTTTAACGCAAACTGAAAAATCTATTAATGTTATTAAAACACCGACATTTTCCAACACAGATTCAGAACTTTCTAGTAGAGAAAGAAATTCAACTGATACTATTCCAAAGATGTCTTCTGAAGATTTATATAACAAATATTTAGATGCATTAAAAAGAGAACAGGTACATAAAAAACTTCTTAAGAACAAAGAAACACTTTTGAAGAAAAAATTGGTCTGTTCTGATACATGTATCAAAGCAATGTCTGAGCCACATGAAAAATCTTACGATAGATTATATAAATTGGTTAAAGATTTAGCTCAAAATAATGTAGGTGATGGTTCAGGAGATGCAACTAAAATTGATATCGGTTCCAATTCTGTTGATCAAAAAAATAATATTAAATCACAAAGAAATCATTCTGTTTTTACTCTTTCATCGGGTAAAACAGTTCGACAGTCGAAGCATGTTAAAAAATATCAGAGAGATATTAGAGATGCTCCAGAGGCTGGTTGCAGTAGAATAAATAATAATAATTGTTGTAACTCACAACATTTTCACAATACTAACTGTGGATGTAAAAAATATGAAAATGAGAAAATTTCAGATAGGGATACCTATTATGGGAGCCATAAAGATGACAAAAATAACTTAACTTCAACTAAACAATCAACAAGATCAACAGACACTGTAGTAACACAAAATAAGGCAGATGTACAATACGTTTGTTTATGTGCCAAAGAAGCAATGGATACTCAAGATGTACCTGATAAGTTGCTTATTTATAAGTGCTCAAGATTAGGTGGTCCACAGAAATTGGGTTTAGATGTATTGTCTAAAGCATCAAGTTCTGTAGGCATACAATGCTCAACTGATTGTGTTTGTCCTAAAAAACTTAAAAATACAACTACGACCACAAATTCTTTAGACCAAAGTAATAATAATACAGGATTACATATAATACAGAGTTCCACTACTGTGATCAACTCTGCAAGGAAAGCATCAAATTCCTCTCAGACTTATAGTAACATAGATGTACTCTTACGATCTCAGTTTAGTGATACCACCAATACTTGTACTGAAAAACGTGCCTCTGAATATATGAAACATAAAAATTTACCACCATACAAACAAGGAGGACATAAAAATGCAAAATTATTACCAATCACACGAGCAACACAAACAGAAATTAGCATCGATCCAAAGATATCGGATCCCACATTATCTGATGTTCGTTTTATGAGCGATTTTGAATTTGTTAAAGTAGATAAACAAGAAAGAGGTGGAAGTGAAACAAAGAGTATTCCAAAAACATTCTGCTATACTAAGCATATTGAAAATGATGAGGAAACTTTTCATAGTATTTATGGAAGTCAAACAGAAACAATGGATGATCGTAACGAAATGGGTACTGTGAAAAGTTCCGAGGATATCTATACAAATACGGAAAGAAATCATGATTGTGATAAACCTAATTTGGGAGACACTAAATATAATGAAGATAAATTTTCTATTCCTATTAAAGGAACAAATATGACCTTAGTAGTTAGTCTAGGCGCGAATACACCAAATATCGATAGAACAAATATAGGCACAAAAGAAAATTCTCTAAATAATAATCAAAACAAAATTTCAACTAAGAAAACTTCAATGGAGGAAGATTCGAGAGGTGTGCAGTGCACCAGTACTGATATTTTCACACAAATGAGTAATGAAACTCAATGTTTTAAAGAAAGAGACATGTGTTTACGCAATCAACCTAATCCTAGTACATGTGCTAATGATATTAAAAAACTTACATATGACAAAGTATGTCCAGTAAACAAATGTGTCAACGAAAATAGCACAAAGTATAGTACATATCCAACAAAATCACAAAACGTAAAAAAACCTTTTGTTAGAGCAAACACAGATACTCATTCTATACAAAGCTTTGTTACAAATATTCAAATGAATAAAAAAGTAGATGTTGAAACACAAAAAGACCTTAGTTGTGATGTGCAACAAAAAACCACTACTGGATTTGTGAAACCTAAAACATCAAATGAGAATGTTGCATATAAAAGTTGTAAATCAAATTTAGTATCTGAGCAAAATTTCACAAAAAAGTCAAGCAATGAAAGCAAATCTGACGTAGAACATGGAGCATCTAAGGATCCCATATTAAATATGATCCAAGACATAACAAAACGTTATACAAAAAAAGATATGGAAAAGGGCAAAAGGAAAAAGTGTTTCAAGGAAATAATAACAGTATTAAATTACTTGCTAGATACTGACGAAAGTAGCTCAGTTGACCCAAAAAAGAGTTGTTTATCAAGTTCCAATACTGACGGCGCTTCAACTGTAGACCAAATGCAGCGGCAAAACGACTCTGAATTTACGATTAAAAAATCTTATGTCGACAAAGGAGTACAAATGTCTATAAAGAAAAATAAAAAAGAAAAATCATGTACAGAATCATCAGACTTTCCCACGTCCAGTGAGATGCCTACAACTTCAACAGATTCTGCAGCTTGTAAAGTATTACACAAAATTAAAAAGGAATGCGAGAGATATCATCATAAACGGTGCAGCTCACACAGCACACAAAAGAAACGTGACGAGTACAGCAGTACTACGGTTAATTGTGAAAATTGTAATAGAGAACATTACTGTTCATGCCGATCCAAATGTAAATCCCATAAACCTAGATCGAGCGTTGATAAAGTAAAAAAGAAGGCTGTAGCTTACAATTTAATAATACAAACATCTGATAGTGTTGCCAGTGAAGAAACTATGTGTGATGAGGGTTGCCGAACTATAAAAAATGTTATTGTTAAAGTACCTTCAAAATTCAAAGGTTCTAATGCACCTTTCCAAGAAGTCGCTTCGAAGATTGAAAAGAATTTGCCACAGTGCAGTCGATTTGAAAACAAGATACATCGATCTAAGAGTTTGCCAATTGACAGTGAGATGTCTAGTGAAGACTTTAGCAAAAAAATGCGAACTTGCACAGTAAGAGATTATTTGGAAATGAATCGACCAGATTTCATAGACAAAACTACAAGGCGACAAGATTGCTTGAAGATAATTAATCAAACAAGGTAAAGAAATAGTTTTTTTTTTATAACAGAAGGGGGCAAACGAGCAGCGGGAACACTACGGTGTTCAACGACGCCCATGGACATCAGCAATACCAGAAGAACCGCAGATGCGTTGCCGGCCTTTGAGGTGGTGATAGGCTCGCTTCTTGAAGGACCCTAAGTCGTATTCTTTTCCAGTTTCGAATTATAAAAAAATAGCATAGACTTACTGCTTTTATAAACTTTTATTTATTTATTTATAGTGTATCAGGACAGATAAAATTTTAGAAAGGATATTACGATGTTTTTATACTCACCAATTTCTCTTACTTCAGACCTGGCGATAAATGTGGCCCTCAAGGCTTGAAAATGATTGTAGTTCATGCCCCAAAATGTACTCGTACAAATTGTATGGAACCTTGTCATGTATATTGCTCAGGTATTGCTTTATTTAAACTTTTTGTTCATCGTAATTTTTTAAATTTTATATTATAGCCCCATAAAGTATATTTAACTAAGTATGTAATTGTAAAATACTAAATTATAAAAAGTTATTTTTGGTTTCGGATCTGTAGTATCCTTTTTTCATATTATAGGTAATGTAGTATAGCCATTGTTTGAATGAAACTTACTGTGAAACTAGATAATATGTTCTAGGTATGCCACTAAGTTGTAACCAGTGTCCTAATTCTTTTATGCAATCGCTTCACAATGATGTAACAGGAATTGGTGAGTGAAATATTAGATTGTCTATGGACGTGTAATAAACAGCACCACTCTTGACCATAGACTTTTTTTTTATATTTAGGTCAAATGAACGTTCTGCCAGCCGCAAACTGCTGTCACAGCAATTGGAACGGCAACAAACAATAAGTGCTCTGAGTGGTGACGACTTACAACATTTTGCAAGGCAACTGAGCAGCCAACTTCGGCGCAAGAATGGTAATTGTCTAATACCACGGTCACTTATAGTGGTTTATAGGACTTTAAGTGTCCCTTAGCGTAGATTTACTATCACAATAATCGATTAATTGCGGTAAATGAATTTAAGTCATTTCATTATTTGAATGGGTAGAAAAATAATAGATTTAAGTATAATACTTAGAAACGTTTATTAAATAAACTAAGAATCAATTTTTTTTTTCAAGTTGCTCCAAAATTTATCAATGAACGTGAAATGAAAAAGCATTCCGAGAAAATTTACAAGTCTTTACCTGAAGTTGTACAAAAGAAAGAAGATTTAAAGAAGGATAATAATAAAAAGACAAATTTATTGATGGCGAATATTTTTAAAAAGGTAATAAGTCATCCAAGTAGTTGGTTTTTTAACCCTTTTAGTGCCATGGAACGCCGTCACGCTGCTATCATTAGTTCCGAAAAATGCCATCGTCGCGACAGCGCCCCTTTCGACAGTTCACTTCTAAAGAGAACGTTGAAAAAATTATGAATATTGAAGTATGTAACGGAAATGGTTAACATTTCTCTTGTTCATATAAATTATCTATAAAAATGCACTTTTTGACTGACATTTATCGCATACAGTAGTAAAATATATATGGCACTAAAAGGGTTGAAGGTTCGCAATACTAATACATATTATTTTCGTTTCAGAACCTTCAAAAAAAGGTGCTCAGAGGATCTATTAATCTCTCAAATTATAGCACAGTTGTTAAAATATGACAAAGTAGTAAAAGTATTATAATAATAAAACGACATGACACATGTGTTCATTGAATTAATTTTGTACTGTTTTTTAATGTATTGTTAAACGTTGTTCTTTTGACAAAATAAATGAAAATCAATTGCTCACAATTTTTATTACCTACTGTTCATGTGCATAAAAATAAACGATGCCAAACTAAGAAATACTAGTAATAAGATATATTTAGCGTTATTATTCATAAAGAAATATCTAAATAAATGCAATAGTACGGTGAACAAAAATAAATTTAGTTTGTGATCCTTCGAGTCGGATATCATTCGTTCGAATGCGGTTAACGCTTATTACTTTTAGTATTAACTGTTCCTGCTGCATTAATGTACTAAAACGATATCGTTATTTCTATTTTAAATATAGGAATATCTTTTCATACATCTGTTTCGGCAATGGAAACTATTATACATTACTATTATATATTATTCTTTGTCCATAGTAAGGACCAATTCCTTTAGTTTTCTTCTGTGAATTTTCGTATTTGCCGTCATTGGTATTTCGTTGAGGAATATCACACCGCCTCGTAATTGTTTAGTATCGGTTAAGTTATCTGAAAATAAATATATTATCAGACTTAAAGTACATTATTCTAACAAATTTTGGTACAGTGGGTCAGCACGAATGTTTGTGACAAGCGTCTGTATCATCATCGTCATTTATGTTATAACTAGTTGTCGCGCGCGACTGCGTCCGCGCGTAATTAAAAAAACTTAATGTACTATGTTGTAGCCCAGACTATGTTCTACATCTGCGCCAAATTTTATCAAGATCTATTGAGCCGTTCCAAAAATACCTTGTAACAAACATCTGTCCATCCAAACTTTCGCATTTATGATATTGGCCCACGGGTGTCTTAGACTTTGATATATCAAATTAGCTCACCTTTAACCAAATCTTTTATTTCCTGAGCGGTAACTGTGTGTCCTGTGCGGATAACAACGCATGCGACTGGCAAATCTCCGCATTCGGCATCAGGTATTCCTGCCACTGCCACGTCTTGTACGGCTGGATGCTGCCGTATTACGGTCTCTAATTCCAACGGTGAAATCTAAAAATAACAAGCAATTAGTAGTTCATAACTGGGTTAGACAAGTTGCATTCGCTTCAAGGCGATTCCATAGTGAACTTCAAAAATGTATAGAACTGATAATAACTTTCGATAAGTCATGTGATTGTCGCGCGTCAATTTCATACATTTTTGAAATTCGTTATTGAATCGCTTCGAAGCGAATGCACTTTGTCTAATCCCCAGGATAGGCGTCGCGTTAGTTTAAATAAAAAGTTTATAAAGGTCAAAACAAAGGAAGGATTAAAATGCGACCTAATGCTAGTACGTACCTGATGATTTCTATATTTTAACAACAACTTTATTCGTTCAACGTAGTAGTAATTATAATGTTCGTCTCTGTAGAACATATCTCCTGTTTTGAACCAACGATCTTCCGCGAATGTTTCCAGCGTCGCTTGTGGATTATTGTAATATTCCTAAATTAATTTCAATATTACATATTAAAAAACGTATTTAACTGTTATGAAGAGAGAGCACTGACATACTAAAATAATAAAATTCATCGATTTTGGTAGCATAAGTAATTTTAAGTAATAATTTACCTTAAAAATACCTGGTCCATTCACCCATAATTCACCCGATATATTTGGCTCTATAATGTCTTTCTTTGTCTCTAGACTTACTAGCTGAAATGTTTAAGTTAGGTTTTATAGTACAGTGCTGTAGTTAAGATAGTAGAACATTTTTTCTCCGGGAAATCGTCCAAAGGTACCTTGCCTTTTGAGAGGAAGACAGGGTTATGTGAGGTTTGACTCATCAAAACCCCTCCGTGGCCCACGTCGAGCGCAATAGAATTGGGTTCTGAGATTTCCGAGCAGCGAATCGGAAATAAATTTAGGTTTTTTGTTTTTACACTTTTGTGTGAAGTTCGGTAGAAATTAATTTGTTTATGGATAGTGGATTGTTTCTTGAAGATATAGATTGAATGAGACACAGTTATTTGTTTTGTGTTATTATAATAAAAAAAACTCACCCTATATTGGAAACAGCCAAGAGGCTTCCCGCATGACTCTATCGGTCCATTGTCTTGCATAAATGCGATACTTGACAGTTCGGTCATGCCGAATATGTTCCGAACTTCTGTATGCGGCATGACTTGCTGAAATAAAAAGAAATAAGTATGTATTATACGACTGTATTAATAATATTACGGAAAATATATTAACCATGACCTAACTCTGAAAACATTCGAAAGTATTCTGTCTGTAGTTGCAAAATATTAATATACTCTAATCACGATTTTGGAAACAAATCCAGCCATAAGATAAACATAATTTGTCTTCAACATCGTATTACTGACCTTAACATCCTCAAGAAGTTCCCTGGAAACAGCGCTACCGGCCAAATAAATTAGTTCGAAACATGACATGTCACAATTTTTTGCTAGGCCATTTTTAAGCAGGGTTGTCATGAGTGTTGGGCTCATGATCGTAAATGTGGGCTGAAATAAGAAAACACAATTGAGAACTATATAAACTAACATGATGTCGACATAATTTAAACATAATGAACTACATCTGAAATATACGGTCTGTAGTGGGCGATATGTGACCTACTTGATGATGGGCACACAAAAAAGAAATTGATAAGATTAATTGCGGATTCACAGTTATGGTAAAAGTAAACCGAAGAAAGTATGAAGGCGGGTGATATATAAGAAAGGAGTGAATTCAGGTAATCAGGTAGTTCTGTATGGAAGATTAATAAATATAATGCCGACTTGATACATTAAAACGGATTGAACAAACTCTTGTGTGACGTCAACTCACTTTGTATTTATCGATGATGTATGCGGCGTGTTCCGGCGTAATGGACTCAGTGCTTTGAAGTCTGGTGTACCTTATTATTGGTGACAAAACAAAATTGATGATCGCTGTCATCCATTGCATAGGCGAACAGATCAAGACCATGCGCGTCGGACTGGGGAATTGAGATTCCTTTATCCTGGAATACAGAAAATATAGCAGGTCATAATATTTGTTTTAGCATTTAGAAAGTGAAGACTTACTAATATTATAAATGCGAATGTTTAGATGGATTGATGTTTGTCTGAAAATATCTCGAGATCGGCTGCACTGATCTCGCTGATATTTGGAATAGATGTAGAACATAGTCAAGAAGAACACATAGATTACTAAATAAGTTCATTTTTTTAATTCCACGTTGAAGAAGTCGCGGGTGGCCGCTAGCAACTTATGACTTTAATTTCTTTTGGAGAATGATATTGTATGATGTCTTTAGTCACCTGTCCCTTTTTTATGAGTAAAGAATGGTAGAGTAAATTAGACGGTTAATGGCAAAGAAAGAAGGCCAAGAAAATAGATGGCACAATAAAAGGTTGTCTGAAACAAAAAGTGTAAAATATCTTACTTACCATAAGTAAGGATTTGTTATAGCTATGTTCTTGTGTGTAACTGTAGCCGATTTAGGTAGACCCGTTGTTCCACTCGTGGCAATAAGCAAAGCTGTTGTCTTCTCTGGATCGAAGTCTGATGGTCTGTGACACGGATATGTTGTCTTGTTTATACTATGTCAGTACAGTAGGACTACTGCTCCACAGTATACTGCACCGGCTTGGCCTCGACTCCTATACTCATTGGCGCAAATTAGTGTTTAAATTATGCCAGTGGTGTGCCAGCGCTTATTTTAAGTGCTACTGTCATACTGTACTGGCATAATATGAACTGGGCATTAAAACAGTTAACATTTTAGTAAAATGTAATTTAGCGCATAAATCTTACCTAAAGTGATCAACAGACGTATCGTCTCCATATTTCCGAAGGAATTCTTCATAATTTAATAGATAATCTCCATTGTCAAATGTTATGATGTGCGCGTTGTGGTCCAATTTGTCAAGAGCCAGTTGGACGTCGGTCACTTTCTCATTTTGACAAAATATTACTTTCGGTCTGCTAACTTCAAAACATTCCTTTAGTTCGACTAAAAAAAACATGTAAATATTAATAATATGTTTATATAAACTAGAATGAAGATTATTCTTATGCAAATGTGATTGAGAGGGCCTAGCACGAATATTTGCGACATTTAAAATGTTATCGACATAATTTGCATTTGTTAGAGTACTCACTAGGGGGCGCTGCTTTTAATACTGAAGACGTTACTAAAACATTCTCACGAAAATTCGTGCTAGGTTCTAAGGACAATCAAATAACAGATTAGAATCCGAGGCGACACATGAGATATTACGGTGAGTTTCCACATAAATGTTACTATCTCTCTCAACCTTCTTAAGAAAATAGAGACAACAATATTAATAGATAAGGACACACGTGTTACATGTTATTAGTAAATTTTAATTTTTAAAAACAAACTACAAGAACATAATAATGTAATTAAATGAATTCTTAATTTTCAAAAATGTTAAATCATTTTCAAAATTTCAAATTAAACTTTTATGTCTATAATCAATATAAGCAACATACATAAAAATGATAATAGAAAAGGATACATACTAGGTCCTAATGTCCGATCAACTGCAGAAGTTCCAACTCCGATATACAAAGATGCGTAGAATGGTATTGTTAAATGGATGTGGTTGGGTGCCATTATAACAATAATGTCCTCCCGCTTTAAGCCAAGATTTGTCAGAGCAATAGCACATTGAATTGATCTTTTTAACACCGACCCATTGGTTTCAGATTCACCCGTTGATCCATCAATCTGTGAAGACAAGATTAAAATAAATTGATATGTTATATAAATAAAACACATAGGGATAAGGTTGTTATTGGGCGTAATTGTCCCACTGTCGAAGCAGTTAAAGAACATAGTTTTGTTTTCTTTAAAGTATGTTTAAATAAATAAAACATTTTAATTAAAACAAATGAGAATCTCGAAGGTATCGACGACGAAATATATATGTGTGGAAAGCAAGTTTGTATTTTTAATCTGTATTTATATTTAATTTCTTTATAGTCTATGATAAATGTCAATTATAAAACAAGTAATTTTTAATCTGTGCTGTATGTTTGAATATTTTAAAAATAAAGCTTTATAGAAAGTACGAGTAGGTAGTTGTTAAAAATATCGTCGCGAATTCCGATTGTTAATTTCATAATATTTTTATTTCCTTTGTTCTATTTTCAGTTGTTCCTTATTTTATATTATCCTTTTAAATGTCGTAATTTTATTTAAATTGTGAAATCAAAGTGATACTGTATAGAATGGAGTGTTAATATCATAAGTTTTGTGATAAATAGAAGTGTTGGTTTCCGCAAGTATTAAATTTACAAAGATTTGCAGTAAGACACGTAAAGGTGAGAATTTTTGTTTTATAGATTAAGCAAGTTAACAGTATACGATATAATAATGTTATGAATAGTCTAGTTGAGTTAACTTCAGCTATTGTGGTTTGTATAAAAACATATCGTCATCCCTCAGTCTCTTTGAAGAAATAGAGACAGTAATGTTTTAATTCGTGTCATAGTAGTCGAATGTTTGTTAATAGTTTTGCTTACCTGTAGTAGAAATTCCGGGTCATCCTTTAGACTTTGAAATATCAGTTTGCCAAGGTGAAATCTATCATTTGGTATTCCAGTTTGCGCAATGATACGACTTGAAAGATCGTTCATAAACCAATGCACCGAGTCGTTCATTCGCTTCGGCACAGACATTTTTCTAAAAGAACATATATCATACTAATATTATAAATGTGAAAGTATAGATGGATTAACGTTTGTTAGTAGGTATATCAGAAACTACTCCACTTTTCTCCACTCCAGATTTCGCTAAAATTAGCCAAAAATGTAGAACATATAGTACAGCAGAACATGACAAATTTCTGTAATAACGCGGAGACAGCGTCGCGGGCGACAGCTAGTTATGAAATAATTAAATTAAAAAGATATGTTTTTCAGATCCAAATTATACTTCGATTCCTCGTTCTGGTAAGTGCTTTTATTATAATATTTGAATGTTTGTATTATTATATTTAAATGCAGTTTTGTTTTTAATTTTGTGCTTGATTGTAAAACAAAAGCAATTTAGACCGGTTTGAAAGATTTCGTAAAAGGGTAAAAGACTAGTTTGCCTATGCAAAATGTAAGAAGACGATTCATTAGTATTTATTTATTTGTTCTATACATAAGTTTTCGGTTTGTTTTCGTTTGTACCGAATAAATGGTAAGATATATATAATGTAACACAAATAAAATATTATAAAAATGGAGCTGTAATAATAATTTCGGTTTCTAACCTTGACTTACATCTTATCTTAATTTATTGCAATAAACTAAATTATCATAAGCATATTTTTGTCGACGTAGTTACCAACGATAGACGTACCGTCATTGAATACGCTTCGCAACAAGTTCAAAAGTTCAAGGACCCCTAGTTTCAGCTACTTTTATTCTTTGTTGCCACAGCGGGCCACCACTGGCTTTGTTAATCCTGTGTCGGTCTATCGAAAGTCGCGGAGTTAACTTTTGCCCGCTAAATAAAGTTGCTGCATAGGATAACGTTTGCCGGATGTCGGAGCTGTGGTAAACTGCTTTAACTGTCGTTTGTTATTTGTAAAATTGGTCTAGTAGTATAAGAACAAAAGCGTTACTATCTCTCTCTATAATAAAGATTGAAATAATCAAAATATTTTTTTTAAATTGTTGCTGTATTTGGTTTTATGACATGATTTTGATGTTGGAAAACTAGTAACTAGGTTATAGAAGACTGCTCGGTCATAAAATACTGTAATGACAAAAGAAAACAGCGTGAATATATAATAGAAATCAGCATCTTTGGCCTTAGATGTCACTATGGCAACCGGTAATCCAGTCCAGCGATCAAAATTATCGCTGGATTATAACGAGAAAATGCTTATCAGTAAAAGATTACGTGAATTAATTGAAAAAACTCATATAAAAATTAACTGTCAATGACCGTAAAAATTCTTTATTTTCACTTGATAATTTTAAAACTAATCTAAAACCGATTAATATTAATAAGCACCTATTTCCTTTATAATTAATACGTTAAGATATCGTATATCATCTGTTTAGAACAGTAAAATAAAACTAGTGGACCCTATTTAAGGAGAGACCTGGTGGGAGTATAATTTGAATGAGAAATGTCTACGTGAAAATAAATAGTTTCGGAATTTTCGGTTTACATTTATTGCTTTTAAATGCAAAATAAACCTTGTGTCTAATTGAATAAAACTATTTTTTAAATGTAACTTTACTTACATTTGTTTATATTTTCCGTTTAATAACAAACACTGATCCTATATAGAACATAAGTGTCGTATATGAGACACAGTTATGTACTGCACTTCACTACACGCGAATGATACTTATGTAATAATCATAGCAATTTTATAATAAGGCCGTGTTCACACTGTTAACAATAAAGATTAATAAACATGATTTTCTATGTTCAAGTACAAAAACATATTATCTTTGTAAATTGAAAATAATGAGGATTCATTTTACTGCAAATAAAAGTATATTAAATAAAATAAAAAATTAATATTGAAGAAGTTACAAGAGCTATGCGTTTTAATCTTTATGTTATTTAATCATGTAACGTTTTAATTTTGTACTTTTTTTCTGTGTACTTACCCTATTAATATGATGATAATTTAGAATCGAGAACTTTGATAGTTGCACGTGAACTATTCCACGGCCACTCCTTTCTACTTTTGTACATATCTAGATATCCTATCATAATTTGTTAATATTACAAATAAATAATTCATTTTTATTACATGAACTTCGTTTAATAAAATTTAGAAGTGTAGCTTGCAACCGCAACATCGAAATATGAAACAAAGCAAATATTATACAGGTTGCTCCATGATAGATACGGTTTAATACAAAAAAAAACCTGTCAGGTTCGGGTTCCGCTAGCGACAATATGCTTGATTCCTAACCTTGGTAAACAGAGATGGAACTTGCACCGTTTTATGTTTATTATAGATATTATAATCATATAGATAATAACATCATTAGAGGCAGATTTTTTTCTAAACTTTCCATTCGTGAATCTTTCTAGAAAACATCCCGATAAAAGATACGCTGTAAAATATTTTAGTGTCTATGAAATATTAAAAAAAACTAATAACGGCTGACTACGCGAAGTTGTCTATTTAAAAAGTGTAGTAAATAGAACTGTATCGTGTGGGGAACTAAGTTCAAGTACGGCTATATATACGCTATTTTTAGGGTTCCGTACCTCATAGGAAAACAAACGGAACCCTTATAGAATCACTTTGTTGTCCGTCCGTCTGTCTGTCAAGACCCTTTTTCTCAAAAAAACGTGAAGATATCCAGCTGGAATTTATTTATAGTAAATCAAGGCAAGCTGCGATATTGCTAAAATGGCAAAATCAATGCCCATCGTCATTACAATTAATTAAAGAATGATGATGCTTTGCCTATATTTAATTGACAGACGAGGGTTTTCACAGATATTTTATCCTTATTAGAAAGGAGATAAAAGGAATTCATCTCCAATTTTTTCTCTATTCACGCCTGCCTTCTATGTGATCGTGGTGTTATTTTTTTATGTATTCAATGCATATTTTTTTGCAATAATTTGTATTGTAAAATAACCTTTTAGATTTTTATAGGTGTTGTTGCTAGCTATTTTACTTCGAAACTTTGGCTCTCATAAAAATATAGAAAAATATGAATATTGCATAATCTCAAAAGTGTGATATTTGAAATGTCTAATAATTTTAGACAGACATGAAAAATATAATAAAAATATACTTAAGTAATTAGTATAATATTTCTTTTTTTTAACCTCGACAAACTTTGACCATTACATTTACTTATCAGTTATTAATATTAACTAATAAACTAACAAAATGGCAGTTGAATTTATCGATTTATTACCTGTCGTACGCGACTCCGTCCGTGCGGATTAAAAACAAAACGTAAGTAGCGTACGTGTCCTTTCTTCCTGGCTATGTTCTACGTCTTTGCCAAATTTCAGCGAGATCCGTTGAGTCGTACCAGAGATACCTTCAAAAATCCATCCATCTACACATTCGCATTTATAATATTAGTAAGATATATTGTTTAATTATGTTAAATTAATTATTATAAGATGACTATCAAGGTAGACAAGTAAAATATTTTCTGTCAGTTTATATCACTTGATTAGTTTCCTCATGCTAGTTTTATCTATTGTTAACAACAGTCCATGACATAACATCTAACAGTAGGTCTAGATAACTAAACAATGATGGTTTTGAATAACATTAGTCGTGAGCACATTATTTCTGAATCGACTCCGTTGACTCAGCTCTTATCTCATCAAATATAGTGAACTCAATAACTAAATTGGCGGCTCACGGCTTAATCCTACTAATATTATAAATGCGAATGTTTAGATAGATGGATGGATGTTTGTATGAATGTATCTCCAGAACGGCTGAATGGATCTCGATGAAATGTGGTATACATATACATCATAGTTTGGAAGAACACATAGACTACTAATTAGGTTTTTTAAAACTCCGCGCGGACGGAGTCGCAGGCGACCGCTAGCCTTTCTATACTTTATACTTCTTACTATATCTAATAGCATAAATGCGAATGTTTAGATTGATGGATGTTTGATGTTATCTCCAGAACGGCTGAATGGATCTCGATGATATTTGGCATACATATATAACATAGTCTGGAAGAACACATATGCTACTAATACTGTTTTTTTTTAATACCGCATCTACGGAGTCGCGGGCAACAGCTAGTGTACTAAAACTATGTGAGCCTATGTAGATAACACAATATTTTGATAATCTTATTAATATAATACATTTTGTGCCGTTACTTTGTTGTCAAGTGATACACAAAAACAATTATCAGCTCCTATTTAATACTTTTATCAAACTACATTAGTACCTAAAACTTTGCTAGAAATTTTTCAAAGAAACATACTTATCCACTAGCTATTTTGTTACTTCTTTTAATTGCTCCGTTGTTTAAAACAAGATAGGTAAAATAAGAGTGTAAGGCCTTTTAGAACTCTGCCGTGAAAGCCAATCGGGAAAAGCGTAAGATATGAAAAAAATTGCGAAAGTAGAACTCATGGTTTGCACGTTAGATTTGGTTTATGCGCTATAAGCTTAATTCGCTGGAAACAAACCAATGTCATTCTAAACTAAATTGGGTTTGCCTTGCGGTTTACTTTGCAGCGTGATGCATTTCTTTCATGTAAACATTAATAGGATTGTAATATCTGTATGTAGTATCAAAACAATTATGTTTCATACTTTTTACGTTACTGATAACGAAAAATGAATACTTGGAATTCTTGTCTGTCTGTCTGTCTGTCTGCATGGTTGCATTTGTTCCGGGTAATCTTCTGGTAGAGCATTTTGACCGTTCTCTAACGGGACGGTAGTTGTATTCGGGCATATTATAGACTATTTTTTTCTACGCTATTGTAGTCGCTGCCAACTGCTAGTATTGTAATCTTATCTATTTGATAAATTAAATAGTAAACATACGTGATTTTGGGAAAACATAGTATCAATTACATCATAACATGTTATTTATCGTAGGTTTCTGAAACTAAAATCTTATATATAAAATTCTCGTGTCACAAATTTCGTTCTAATAATCCTCCGAAACGGTTTGACCGATTCTCATGGAATTTTGTGAGCATATTGAGTAGGTCTGAGAATCGGTCAACATCTATTTTTAAACCCGCGCGGACGGAGTCGCGGGCGACAGCTAGTCTTATATATAAAATTCTCGTGTCACAATTTTCGTTCCCATACTCCTCCGAAACGGTTTGACCGAATGTCATGAAATTTTGTGAGCATATTGAGTAGGTCTGAGAATTGGCCAACATGTATTTTAAATCCCGCGCGGACGGAATCGCGGGCGACAGCTAGTCTTTTTATAAAACTGTCATCCCTATCATGATCTTTGACAAAATAGAGATAACAATATATTTTAAACGAAGATTTTTGTTTCAGAAATCCACGATAAATGATTACATATAATTTAAAAAACGTCCTTCTACTATTATCAGTCTGTGCATATGTAATCGCGTGTTAACATAACATAGTGCTATGTAATGTAATGACTTGCAAGGTTATTACCGGTTAATTTTGTCAGTTATATCGCAAAAATTCTTTGTACTTGTTTTTTTATAGTCAACATACAAATATGATCATGTAATTTAAAACTTATGATATGTCAGATGATTGACATATTACGGATAAAGTCTGTAGCGCACAAAGATATAAAATTGGAGGTAAAATATAACGCAGATTTTGCTACACGGTTCATCTGGTTTCTTATAGTAAATCTAATTGCTAATTGTTGTTTTCTGAGACGAAAATCAAAACGACGAAAAGAAAAACATATCGTCATCTCTTTTATTATCTGTGACAAAACAGAGATAACAATATGGTTTAAACCGTGCGTTTGGTGTCAGAAGCTCACGGTAAATGGTTTGCTTGAGTAAACCGATAAATGTTAGGGTTGAATTATAATATAAAAATTGAGTTCGCTTCAGTTGTCATTTGCATTGGCGGCTGTGTGCCAAGCCTTAGCAAACAAATCTAGAAAAAAATGTTTGTATCCAAACAATCTGCATTTTAAATTAACATTAATTCTAGCCAGCTATTTCTGGATCTTAGGTTCTTAAAAAAAAGTTTAAAATCATCAACAGTTCAAAAATAAGTGAAAATAAAACGATGGTTTTATTTATGTAAGTTTTGTTATTTTAAGACACAAAATGAATCTTCTTTCAAATTCTTAGAACGTACTAAAGTTCACTTAAAACTGTTTAGTAGTTTATGCACGTATTAACATACAAACATTCCTTTTTATAATACTTATAAAGAAGATAAAAAAATTAAGGTTTGAACATGAAATTAATTAAAGAGATTAAAATTGATTTCCTTTCACAAGTTGTAATACCATTTCTTTGAGCTTTAATCTGTTAATCTTAGATGATACTGTTAAGGGTAATTTCTCCATAAAAATGACTCCTCCACGTAACTGCTTGGAATCTGATAACGATTCTGAAAAGAAAAACAACAATTATTGGATGTTAATCATACTAATATTATGAATGCGAATGTCTAGATAAATGGATGTTTGTTTGAAGGTATCTCCGAAACGGCTAAAAAGATCTTGATGGATTTTGGCACAGATGTAGAACATAGTCTGGAAGAACACATAGGCTACTCTTTAAGTTTTTTTTTAAATTTCGCGCGGACGGAATCTGTCAGCAAGGCGACATTTGCTCCGGGTAATGTCCGGAACGGCAGGACTTCAGCTATTTTTTTTAATAATTTGCTTAACATTTACCCTTCTACGATTCTTTATTTAGGTTTAATAACTTACATAACGATAGAAGAATATAATCGTTATGAGAGCGTTAGAATAATGTTTTTACTACGTTTCATACAACCTAATGTAATATTCTTCTTGACGTTGACCGTTAATATTGTTAACTTCGTCAGTGTTTATGTTCGGGACAAAGCTTACCTTTAACTAAATTCTTAATGTCTTCTTCAGTGATGTTAGATCCTTTGCGCAAGACGACGCATGCAACTGGCAAATCTCCATCATTTGGATGGGGAATCCCCGTCACCGCCACCGAATCTACGCCTGGATGTTTTTGTATTACGTTCTCTATTTCCAATGGGGATATCTGTAATAAAGTAAACACATCTATAAATGCTTAATCAAGTATTTCCAAAAAGCTTTACGAAGGCTTAATGATTCCTAAAGTGTCTGCGGTGTGAATGTACGGCGGATTGAATTTTTGGGTTCGCCAATTGATTTTGAAATGTGGGATACCGGGTATTCACTGATATCAATAAAGTTTTGCAAAAGTTACAAGAAAATAGCTAAGAAATATCTAAATTAACTAAATAGAATGAATAAAAAACAAGACAAACCCAAAATTTTATCAACATAGCTTGCACATAAGTTTCAAAATATTTCCTCTTTAATGCTTTAACCTACATAACTGTATAACATCTTTATTTTATAATATCACTTCATTTCATTCTACAATTAAAAAAAAAAAACGGAGAAAAAGTTTAATACAAAAAAAGTATTTATTTTGGAAAGTTTTCTCTTCTATATAATCTACGAATATCCAAACAATTCTTTGTATAATTTACATACCTGGTAACTTCTGTACTTCAGTAGCATTTTCATACGTTCAACAAAATATAAGTTCCAGTTTTCGTCTCTGTATAGTATATCTCCAGTTTTCAACCAGCCGTCTGCTGACATCGTTTCTTCTGTTAAAGCTTTGTTATCGCAATATCCCTTAAAATAGCATACATTTGAAAAAAATATTTAAAGAACACAGGAGGCCTAATTTAAGTCATTTTTCCAGTTCAACCTTTTTCTTGAAAAGAAAGGATGGACAGTGAAAGTAGAAATTCCGGATGAGGGGATGCATGGGAAGAGAAAATATTCTCTTTCTGTGCATCCCCATCTCCGTCAATAAAGGTAGGCAACGTATCTTCAATTGAATTTGTCTATGGACAACTCTTACTTCGCTATTTCAATGACTTCAGGTGGCCGCATGCCCGTTTGCCACCTTATGATATAAAAACACAATTGATTTGTGTCACTAAGACTAGGTAGAAGGAAATGTTTAACACTACATATATTACAAGGGATTTGGTTATATTAATGATTGTGTAATAACGTGCTACTTAGGTTGATATGCAATTTGTATACCATAGTCTTAAAAGGCATTGTTTCTTTCTTATAAGTAACTTACTTTAAAAAGGGTTGGTCCATTCATCCATAACTCTCCTGGAGTATTCGGTTCATGAATATCTTCTTGTGTGTCAACATTAACTATCTGTAAGTAAAAAAAATAAAAGCTTTTTTTTAAGATAATAAATAGGATTTATCGTTTTATACTTGTCATTGTGATTCTTGTAATATAATATTTACTTGATATTTTAATGTCACGTCACAATGATATGCGATTTTACATCAACCAAATTTTCCCCAATGTGAGATAATCTTAGCCAAATAGAGACCAAATTAATAGTCTTACCATGAGTTTCTGAGAAAAAAATATCTGTTTAAAACATATTTATAACAATGAAAGGGATGACAATATGTTTTCAACGGATATTTTGGACTCAGAAACCCATGGTTATAGTCCTTTGCCTGTTTTAATAAAAACCTTTGCCTTTGACTTACCTTTGCTTGAACACAATTCAGCAGCTGCCCACACGCTCCTCGTACACAATTGAAATTAATAACAGAGAGACCTGATATTTCGCTCATGCCGTATCCAATGCAAACGTCTACATTAGGTGCGACGATCTGAGGAAATCATATAAAAACTTTTTAAAATATCAAAGAGAGATGTCGGGTAGAAAAGATGTAAATCATTAATCGTAGGTCTCCGAGATCAAAATCTCCATTTAAAAGATATTATCTCTGTTTTGTCAAAGAATGAAATGGACGACGCGACGATATGTTGACAGATATGTTGGTCTCAGAAACCAACTTAAGATAGGAACTGATATCTGTGTATTCAAAAAATCCAACTTCAGAATAAAATAGTGTCTACTATGTTTTATCCGGCAACGTAAAAGACCAATTCCTAAAAACAATACACGGTTTTGATAGACGTGCTGTAATGAAGACTATAGAAGTAAACAGAACCTCAAGGTAAGACCATAATGCTGACTAGTATCCTCAGATATGTTGGAACGAGCTTGAATAGTAATACCACATACTTTTTAGAATAATAAATGGCCTATTATTTGATAATGGAAGTAAAACAAAAATGTGTTTTAAGTCATCGATACATACTTAACATTTGCTCGTCCGCCCTTCATCTTATTTATTTACCCTTAATTATATATTATGTACAAGTATATAATCACTGTATTTACCTTGATTTCGTCTATTAACGTCTGCGATACCGCACTTCCACCTATCATGATTAATTCGAAGCAAGAAAAGTCACAGCTCTCCCGCAGTTCCGACTTTAACAAGCCACTCATCATGTTAGCGCTCATTTTGATATCTGTGGGCTGTAAATAATAGTAAATTAATATATTTAAGTAGATTTAATTACCTTTTTAGCAAATATAGCATTACTACGACTTCGTTTGCGCAGATTAAAAAAAAATAATGAAAAGTACGTTATGTGTTATTTGATTCTTCTTTATCTGTGTCCAGTTTCAAAAAGATTTGTTGAACCTTTACGGAGTTATCGATTAAAGTATGTCAATTAAACGAGGGAACCGGAATTAATTGGCATAATAGGTAAACTATGTGTTATCCCAGCCTGTATTCTACATATATGTCCAAACTTAATCGAAATCCATGCGACCGTTCTGGAGATACCTTCAAACAAACACCCAACCATCCATCTAAACATTTATAATATTAATAAGAAGTATGATTATGCTATTTTCAAATTTGGTTTTAATAAAAAAGTAAGACAATACGGGACTATGTTTTCATATCGTTTACGTCTTTTTTTTAATTATTATAGTAACTTAGTTGTTCAAATATTACCTTATATGTGTTGATAAGGTGGTAGGCATGCTCCACTGTTACTGGCAATGAAGTTTGTAACCTTGTGATCCTCAGTATTGATGACATGAGTATTGTTATGACACCAGTTATCCATTGCGTCGGCGAGGTCAACAGTGTCATACGAGTTGGTTTCGGAAACGTATTGTATTTTAACCTAAACATAAAAGCTTAGTTTTAAGTATAACTGCCAACGCAGAAAGGCAATAAAATAATATAAAATAAAATAGAACAGAACAAAAAACTATGCAGTTTTCAAAGTGATTTCTTTGGTTACCCCTTTGATATGTTTTTTTTTTAAATTTCGAATTCAGAATTCTGGGCGTTTATGTAAATAATAACTGACCACCAATACGGTGCTGAAATGGCCATATTTGCGTGTGTAAGTACAGCAGCTTTGAACACTCCTGTTGTACCACTGGTGGATACTAAGAATGCTGTTGTCGTTTCTGGATCAAATTCATTTGGACTGCGAACAAAGAAACATATTTCGTAAGATGAGGGTAGAAGAAAAGACTTTTTTTAAATTACTTTTAACATTAAGAAATGTTAAAATAACAAGATTTTTAGTGTAATCTTACCGAAAACTCTCGATAGTTTCTTCGCTGTTCTCAATAAATTTAGCCAACGTACAATAAGTAGCACTATCGTTAAACGTTATTATATTTGCCTCTAAGTTTAGATTTTTGAGTGCACTCGCTACATTTTCCGATTTCTCGTTTTGACAGAATATTACTTTTGGCTTTTCACATTTAAACAAATCCACAAGTTCACCTAAAATGATGACAATAACGATTAATTTATTACTAAAATATAAAATTCAACTACTTAATACTATGATACTCTGGAGAATTGCAGTCGAATGAAACCTCATCACATCATCAGCTCACTATACGTCCCCACCAAGGGGCTCGGAGCCTACCCTAAGTTAGGGGTGACTAGGCCATAGTCAACCACGCTGGCTAAGTGCGGGTTGGTTGACTTCACACATATCTTTGAATTTCTTCTCAGATATGTGCAGGTTGCATCACGATGTTTTCCTTTACACTAAGAACGTCTGATAAATGTACATATGCAAATCGGAAATCGAAAGACGCATTGGTATATGGCGGGATTCGAACCCAGGACCTGCAGATTGCAACTCAAGTGCTTGACTCCTGAGCCACCGACCGTACCGTATGAAACTAAGTTTTTAGGACTATAAATTCCAAATAAATGTAAAACTACATACAGGCTACATACAAAGCATTTAACATTGTTACCTACATACTTAGAAAAGTATTTATGTAGGTAGCTAGAGAAAAAATGTTGTAGGTATTTGAATAAAAAATATTAATAGTTATAAACACTTACGGACAGTCAAGGCGACATCAACACAGCCAATGCCTAATCCTAGATATAAAGCAGCGTGAAAAGGTATTGAAATATCCAAATGATTTGGAGCCATCAATATTATGTGATCGCCGACGTTTAGCCCCATCTTTCTCAGACTACCCGCACATTTAATGGTCCTTTTTAGTGCTGATCCAAAAGTTTCGCTTTCACCCGTAGCGCCATCTATCTGTGAATCAATGAGTTTTAAATTTAAATAAACATGAGCCTAGTCTTACACCAAAAATCATTCTTAGAATGAAATACTACAGCCTCAGTAAAAACAATCAATAAAATGTATACCTAAGTATTTCCTAATAAAATTTACTAAAAAAAACTCAACCTACTTGCATAATAAAATCAGGTTCTTCCTTAAAGCAGTGTAGTATAATTTTACCAAGATGATATTGGTCACTCGGTTTACCAGATTTGGCGACAATTTGCAAGGCAAGTTTCTGCATGTACCAATGTACCGCATCGTATGTAAATTTTTGGACACCCATTACTGCAACTAGAATTAAAAGTTAATTTATATAACACTACTTAATTAAACTTTGCATCAAAAGAAAAGTACTACATTTTTAAAGTTCCAATATCTTTTTTTTAGGGCCTTACTATAAAAGAATTAGACAATGTTTCAAATACATTTGAGTTTAAACATACGTCAAACTTTTTATACCGTGACCATAACGCCCGGCGCAGATTTTTGACAATTCATGACTATTGAAAACATTATTACGCCTAGGTCGAATTAATTATACCGAAAGTAATATGGTGATTCATATTTATAATGAAACATATAATCCATTTTGACATCCATACTATCCTTCACCGGCGTTCAAAGGGTTAAAACACGCGTCTACCTAATTTTTTTGGGGATAGAGTTTGAGTTACATAAAAATGATGTATGAGAGAAATGTACATCTCAAAAAGTTCTACAAAATGTTTTTTTCTCATATTGCTTAAAAAATCGTACGACGTTATTTAAAAAAAAAATATTGATCTTTGTAAAAAATAATATTCAGGGTCATCCGTTCAAATAGTGGCTAAAGATTTTTGCAGAAAAAAGTGTGAATCGCTTCGTCATTACTTTGATGGATCGATAACACTGATTACACAATATCGTGATTTTCATTAAGATTGGTGTAGTTACTTATATGAATATTAGCTGTCGCCTACGCCTTCGTCAGCGCAGAATTTTTTTATAAGTAAGCCTATGTGTCCTTCCAGATTATGTTCTATATCTGTGCCAACTTACAGGAACATCCGTGCAGCTTATCTGGACCTTCTAACAAATATCAATCCATCCATCCAAACGTTAACATTTATAACATTAGTAAGAAGTAAGATAATATTTAATCTGTACAGGTAATAAAAAAACATATAAAAAAAACATTCACATAATTTTTGTTAGTTATAAAGAAAAACCAATTAACATTGTTTATCTGAATTTCGAAAATCAGCGTTTGTTTCGAGTTATCTCCAAAACGGCTGTACTGATTTTAATGGAAACAAAAAAATCTAATAACATTTTTTTACGTAACTTTTAAAAACTGAGTCTCAGATTTTATATCAGAAGTGAAAATAATGCCCGGGAAAAATTGTACTTTCAAGTTGATAAACCTACCTATGTACTTCTATTTATAAGACAAAGAAATAAAAAAAAATCTATAAAATTAACCAATAAAAATTAAGAAATTTAATGGATCGGACAAATCCTGGTAATATACGAATATATTGTAAACAGATATTTTTGCCGTTTATTGTCAAAATATAGCACTTTTATTAACCCTTATGTTCATTTTGTATAGTATACCATACATACAACTTTAAAAAAATATACGATCGCTATAAAATAATTTTTAACTTACTTTTAAACATTTCTAGACATTTTTTTGCTTTTATTCAAAAAAGAAATATTGCCACAATAAGGTTTTAAATTATATATAATATGTTATTTTACCTTTTATTAATAGTTTTATTTAAGCCGATTACACTATAAAGGGTGATTCTTAATTCACTGGTTTACACACTATTGTGTTGACTATCGCGGTTGGAAGAAGAATGACAAATGAACCAGAGGATATGAAAATTGATAAGAAAAACAACATAAGTACATTAACTATATATAATATCTCGCGATTAGCTTCTTCCTGTGTTTACAAAACACATATTTATATTATTTGGTTATCATAAAGATTAAAATAAAATAAAATAGAATTAATTTTTTTTTATTGAAAAGTAAAAATAATTATTTAATCCTTCTTCTCTTGGTTTATTTTGAATTGTCTATTCCCCCTTCATATCTCTAACAATCTTCTTCAGCACGGCTCTGTTCACTTTTGAAGTTGAAGTCAAAGGAAGTTGTTCCATGAAAATAACTCCTCCTCTCAGCTGTTTCGTGTCCGTTAATGATTCTAAAACATTTATTTTTAACATTTACAACAAAAATTGTAATTACTGGTCATTTCCATTACTCATATAGTTATAGCCTTAGCTCCTGACCTAGGTTGCCTATTTCGGGAGCCCTTGCCCTTGGATAAATTCAATACGTATACGTTTAGTAACAAAATAGAGAGAATTAATCTTTATCAATAACTAGCCATCGCCCGCGACTTCGTCCGCGCCGATTTAAAAAAAAAACACTTAATGAGTAGCCAATGTATTGTTCCAGACTATGTTCTACATGTGTGCCAAGTTTCATCAAGATCCATTGAGCCGTTTAGGATACCTTACAACTAATATCCATCCATCCAATCAAACATTCGCCTTTATAATATTAGTAAGAAGTAAGGTTTTTCGTGTCCCTTATTAGATATGTTCCTTTGATATTCTTCTATCCTTTACTGTCACTAAAGAAAGTCTTCGAGAGAAAATGTATTCCTGGTGTGTAATGATGGACATACCTTTAACTAGATCCTTGATCTCCTGTGCGGTGACTTTTATGTTATGATGGGGCACGACGCAAGCGACGGCCAAGTCCCCACATTCATCGTCCGGGATCCCCGTGACCGCTACGTGCAGGACACCTGGATGCTTGTTAATCACTGATTCTACTTCTGTAGGCGATATCTGTAAACAACTTTTATTAGTACCAGCAACACAGAAGACAAAGGTTATATAAATAAGAAAGGTATAACAGACAGATATTAAGTGTCCATGTCGTCGTTCTCGCTAAGTTACATCGCAGTTTCCGCATTGTTGCGGTAACATGTGGGTGTGATGATATCATAACTAATGTATTTTTAAAATAAATTCTAATTATTACGTGATGATTGCGATATTTGAGGAGCATCTTCAGACGCTCAATATAATAGAAGTTCCAATTCTCGTCTCTGTATAGAAGGTCTCCTGACTTTATCCAACCATCTTCTGTGTATATTTCAGCTGTCGCTTGAGGATTGTTGTAGTAACCCTAAAATCAAATACAGATTAAATAATAGTTGACACTGAACCCTGAAACTTTATAAAATAGACACAAAAGAGTTTAAGTAACATAAAATCCACAATTAGGTTAAAAGTATTTATAGAATAAATATATTTTTGAAATTATAAAATCAAAAAAGTCATTGGTACATGGCGGGGATTGAACCTAATCGTATAGATTTCGTTCCTGTCCGATTAAGCATTTAGCAACTGCGCCGCCGAGGCTCTTTCCTCGATTTCTTATTACGTTAAAAAGTAATTGAAAAAATCAATATCATGTCAGCCTTACCTTAAAAGAGGATGGCCCTTTCAACCAAAGCTCCCCAGTTACATTAGGTTCCAGGATATCTTCCTGGGTATTTGGATCCACTAACTAAAATAGTACCATTATGTTGATATTAAATACGAGTAATTCACTTTTAATTGAATACAATATTTTATACTAATGATTCTTACCCTGTATTGAAAATGTTTCAACGGTCTGCCTATAGATCCAGGATAGGCACTGACGGGGTCCAAAGCGAAGCTTGTTACTTCACTTAATCCGTAACCTATGTATACTTCCGCATTCATTACGAAGTTCTGAAAAGGAAAATCATTTAAAAGCTGTCAAGTTAGGATTAAGTTAATGGGTTGGGGAAAAAGCCTTTCACTGGATAAGTGATGGGTTGAATGCGGCATTATGTGGTACCAACCAATCTTATCTTACACCGGGATATAATAGAAATTCATCTACTTTCAGTCTTCAAGAACATTTTTCATCTTCTCTTTATGCAATAAAAAGAGTTCACAAATATTGACAATATTGATAGAACGAGTTGAAGTTGTTTACCTTTAAGTCTTCTAGAAGTGTCTGTGTTACTGCGCTTCCTGCCAACATTATGACCTTGAAACTAGTAAAGTCACATTTATTTCTTTCTAAAGGATTTAACAGGGTTGTCATCAATGTGGGACTAAGCATCATATATGAAGGCTGAAAACATTTTAAACATTTTGGATGATTTATTCAAAAATACGAAAAAAAAGTATAACGTAGGTTTTATAGACTTTACTGTAGTTTTTTAAGGGTTCCAAAATAAAAAAGTGAAGTCTCTCTTCTTTGTAATATTAAAAAAGACAGGACAATTCTACTAACGCAGACAAATTCGTTCGTTCGTCATCAGCGCACTATACGTCCCCACGAGGTGCTCAAAGCCTACCTAAAGTCACGGGTGACTAGGCCATAGTCAACCACGCTGGCCCAGTGCGGGTTGGTTGACTTCATACATATCATTGAATTTTTTCCCAGATATGTGCAGGTTGCATCACGATGTTTTCCTTAACCGTAAAAACGTCGGATATATGTACATATGTAAATCGGAAATCGAAAAACCCAGTAGTACACGGCGGGATCCGAACCCAGGACCCATGAGCCACCGACGCTCAGGGGTCAAGCACTTGTCTTGCAATCTGCTTTTAGTATCTGTCTGTCTCCATCTGCTGTCTTTCTCTATCTTATATATTTCTCTCTTTCATGTAACGAAACGTGATGCATTACGTTTATCAATGATCACCAGGATCATTAACCATATTATTATCAGTTTAAAATATAGTTTCAAGATAAAAAATATCCAATTACCTTATACTTGTTGATTAGGAAATAAGTATGTTCGATCGTTAGAGGTAGAGATGTTTGTATTCGAGTAAATCTCAACATTGGAGATAGAATGAAACTAAATGTTGCAGAGAGCCATTGCACTGGAGACACAATTAATGCTCTCTCTATTGGTTTGGGAAAATTAGAAGTATATACCCTTAAAGAAAATAAGTTAATTAGCAGACAGAATTCAAATTGAATATTATTATAATATTTTATGAATTAATGCTTCAATAGTAATATAAAATTTCATCAAGTTTCAAATATTGAATCTTACCAAATATAAGGTACACCAATCATTAAGTTTTTGTGTGTCAGTGCAGCACATTTTGGTGTTCCAGTCGTACCACTTGTAGAAACAAGTAAACATAGTTGCTCCACTGGATCAATTTCTGCAGGTCTGGAAGTGACAATCAATAGTAATGTGATGGATTTGAACGACATGGAGGGTTACACCGGTAGATGTAAGCCTAAGAGATGAATGAATTACGTGAAAGTTGATTTAATCAAGAAGTTGTGAGGACTGAGATGACGGAAAAAAAAATAAAAATCTGGTGCCCTTCGTGAGTGGGATAAAGACAGGGAGGTGGTGATTGATAGAACGACGTCTCTAAAAAGTGCTGTGTGTTAGGAAGAAAGCCAAGAGCAAACGCAAATATAAGTGTTTAAAGCTTCTTCAAGTATACGAATTCTTAGTTCTTATTCTGAAAGTAAAAAAGTATGATTAATTTATGATTATTTATAGTGTTTCATAATAAAATAATATATATGTACTTGAATTCATCCACTGTTGTGCTGCTGCCATATTTTTCAACGAACTCTACAAAGCTCATATTATTTTCACTTTTATTGTAAGTCACAATTCTAACGTCCAATTTTATGTTCCTCAATGCTTCGGCAACATCTTCTTCTCTTTCGCTTCCACAGAATATTACTTTTGGTAATCTTAATTTAAATGTTTCTTCCAATTCCACTAAAAATAATATATTTAATTTTATCTTAATAAAATGCTTGAGTACGTAAATATGCTTGCTTGTTCAGCCATAACACCCCCACTGCTACCCTAAGGCTCCCGCAAAGATCGCAACGATGATCGGTCCTGTGCTACCCGCATCAAGAATACTCCTGCAACCTTGACCAGATCATCGGTCCATTTTATGGGAGGCCTGCTCCCGCCACGTAACCCGTCCATGGCCGCCACGCAAATATATCTATTATTTAATTATCTATTCACTTACTGATTCCAAGCGTACTGTCAACACCGGCCACTATTATTCCTAAGTAGAAAGCAGCGTAAATAGATATGGTTAGGTTCGTAAAGTTAGGTGCCATTACAAGTATGACGTCATCAGCTTTCAATCCTATCGTTCGGAAAGCATTCGCGCATCCAACTGATTTTTCTAGTGCATCTTGAAATGTGTCTATATCACCGGTACCACCGTCAATCTAGAAATGGGTAAAAAATCTGAACTTTGTATTATTATTGTTAGCAGATTGGATTCACGAATTCATTGTAAAAACGATATTTAAGTATGTATTAAAATGTATTTTTACCTGCATAACGAAGTCGGGAGCATCTTTAAGGCTCTGCAGGATAAGTTTGCCGATGTGATGTCTGTCTGAGGGTATACCAGTTTTAGCGACCACTCGACTCCCCAACTCGTTGAGATACCAAAACACGGCATCACTGGCGTGTTTGTGATACTTCATTTTTCTAAAAATGTTACAGCGATTATAAGTGTTCTAACAATTTCCCTTTTTTTGTTTCTATTTGCTTTCAACACTTCTTCTATTTTCACTGTTAATCTCAGTTTTTTTTAAATTACAACAACAACGAGAAAGTCCTATGTAATATACATAGGACTTTCTCGCCAACTACTTACGTTGTTCGATTCTTTCAATGCCTCCCTTTACTTTGATAATCACTAGCTGAGCGTCTTTGTTCGTGCGGAATTAAAAAATCAATTAATAAGTAGCCTATGTATTCTTCCAGACTATGTTCTATAATACATCTATGCAAAATTTCAACGACATGCATTTAGCCGTTTTGGACACATCTTCTAACAAACATCCATTCATCCGTTCATCCAAACATTCACATTTATAATATTACTAAGATAAACAAGTTACCAACATTTTTTTAATAATTCGAATATTTGCACTTTAACAAGACAGATCTTGCAACGCGACTGTAATCGTACTGATCTCTTAATTACACTACGACTAAAGATTAACATGAACTGCTATATAGTCTTGCTTTTATTAGTGTGCGTTTTTGCATTCATGTTTACGATATAATATAGATTATACAGATTATATTTATATAAATTGGCCCATATAAAGGCTATCGTGTCGGTGTCGCAGTTGTTAAACAGTTGACTGATCTGGACAGTAAACTAAAGCGTCCATGTTCGAACCCCGAATTTACAATGTACATTTATCAGACGTTATAACGGTAAACCATCTTTGGCAAAGAAATTGAAAGATTTATGGTTGACCAGAGTGCCTATGGCCTAGTGAGCCCTAAATTGAAGAGGCTTTGAGCCCCTCGATAGGGAGTATAGATCGTTAAAGACACAATTAGCATCGCGGTGAGTACGTCCACCACTAAACCAGAAGTAAGGCGCGGTCTCCGTAAGACCTTTTGTTCTCATTTAAGGCAGATTTTTTTTACAAATATATCTTGTTTGACTCATTCCATCGACCGGGTTCGAAACCTAGGTAGTCGGTGCTGCGGTTGAGGCTTGCGTTCAGGTGAAAACCGCGACACCTTCAGTCTGACCGTCCTAACCAAGCCAAGCAGCATCACCATCTGTTATGATCAATTTACTGTGAGGTTCAACTGCAGTGCCACACTATTTTCCTGTCTCTATTTTGTCAAAGATAAAGTTAAAGATGATAATAGGTATTAATATAATAGTCAATGTAGTGCAATATAAGTGTAATAAATTATTTATAAGAGTTTAATTAGAAATATATGTGATTATAAAATGCACAGAGGATAAAGTTAAATCAATAGATAAGTTAACACAATCTGCAAATATTAAGTAACACGTTGTTATCGTGCAGACTACTAATCCTACACTTTGACTTCTTTCGTAGGTTATGACGACAACTTATCTTTACTTTTCTTTTTTATATTATATTGTGGCAAACGTGCAAGTGGCCAGCTGCATTATAAAGAGCGAAACGAACCTTTCTCATAGACATCCGCGATTGCATATGCGTTGCCTACCTTTAATCGATGGAAGAGGCGCACAGAAACTACTAAATAAAAATATCATTATAATATTATTATATAATAATAAAACAAATAGTTTAAGATTTATTAAATTAGTTATATAAGAGTTAATCAATATAAGAGTTAATAATATAAAAGAAATAACCTATAATATATAATATCTAAACATGTTTCCTTAATCTTCTTTTGTTATTGCACAGGTATTAACTACTTATTCTCTCTTCATATCTCTAACAATCTTCTTCAGCACGGCTCTGTTCACTTTGGAAGTTGAAGTCAAAGGAAGTTGTTTCATGAAAATAACTCCCCCTCTCAGCTGTTTCATGTCCGTTAATGATTCTAAAATAAGTTTACTTATAAGTAACTAAAGCCGTTGATGTAATATTTATCAGTCACATTTGCATTCGTGGATGGTACGAGATCTTACCACGAATATTCCAACATACAAAATAATATGACTTAATTGATTCATCATCAACCTGCTCTTATCCCTATCAAGGGTCAGTACAGTATGTACTACTCCTCCATACATCTCTATCAGCTGTCATATCCGAATCAACCCCCTTCCTACGCATATCCTCTTTCACTCAGTCATTCCATACTTTTTTGGTCTTCCTCTACCTTTGTAGCCATCCACATTCAATCTCATTACTTTTATAATACTACTAGCTGTCGCCCGCGACTCCGTCCGCGCGGGAAAAAATAGATGTTGGCCGATTCTCAGACCTACTCAATATGCTCACAAAATTTCATGAGAATCGCTCAAGCCGTTTCGGAGTAGTATGGGAACGAAAATTGTGACACGAAGATTTTATATATAAGATTATTTAATATGACTTAATTGATTGAATAGAATAAAAAACGGCAAGGTTATTTAAATGTCATTGAATATAACTTTTATCAATAGAATTGCAAGTAATGATTGAAAAAAATACTAAAGGTTACTAACCAAGAATCTAAGAAAGCTTCTTGCTACTTACCTTACACATACAACAACACGTACCTTTAACCAAATCTTTTATCTCCTGTGCAGTCACTGTACAGTTGGCTTGGGGCACCACACAGGCGACTGCTAGGTCTCCACAGTCATTGTCTGGGATGCCTGTAACTGCTACATCTAGCACACCTGGATGCTTGATAATGACTGATTCTATTTCCGTAGGCGATATCTGAAACAAACACTTTAGTAAGTAGTCTGTGAACAGTACCTTCGTGCCAAAAAAAGTACAGTCCCCAGGTAACATTTTTTTTTTGCATAGTGTAAAAAGTCATCATCAGCCCAGTATACGTCCCTACCGAGGGGCTCGGAGCCTACCCTAAGTTAAAGTCGATTAGGCCATAGTCAACCACGCTGGCCAAGTGCGGATTGGTTGACTTCACACATATCTTCGGAAATCGAAATCACATTGGTAATGGCGGGATTCGAACCCAGGACCTGCAGATTGCAAGTCAAGTGCTTGACCCCTGAGTCACCGACGCTCGAGTGTAAATGTCAAGAATAATAAAATAAAAGATTACTTGATGATTGCGATATTTGAGAAGCATCTTCAAGCGATCCACAAAGAAGTAGTTCCAGTTTTCGTCTCTATAGAAAAGATCACCTGACTTTATCCATCCATCATTCAAAAATGTTTCTGCCGTTGCCTCAGGGTTTTTGTAATATCCCTAAAAAGCAGTGGATTTAAAAATAATTATAATATTAAGGCTTTTAATATAATAAATAGTATGCAACAATTAAAAAAAATGGTTATTTTACTTTCCTCTAACTCAAAAAGTATGGGTTTCTGGCACCAAATCTCCCCATAACATAAATTGTTATCTCTGTCTTTCATCTTCGACAAAACAGAGATAACGATATGTTTTAAACGAGGATTTACATTTCAGAAATCCACGGTAAATGCTTATAAAATGAAGTTCAAAAATTTCTTCCTAATAGGAAAATATGAGCCAGAGATTTAAACTTTAGAAATGTATTTCTTGTAGAAATAGACTTATGTATACTTTGAATATAACTGGTCCTTTCACCCACAACTCTCCAGTTTTATTTGGCTCCAATATATCTTCTTGAGTATCAGGATCGATTAACTGAAATAGTACATTTAATTAATTAAAATCCATATCATTATATATCTGACATTAATTCCATTGAGAAATATTTAAATAAATTCGATATATGGTCAGAATTTCACATTATCGTACTCACTCTATGTTGTAGATATGCCAAAGGTCTACCCACAGAGCCTGGGGGAGGTGAAACAAAATTAAAAGCAAAACTTCCTATTTCACTGAAGCCATATACCACGTACACCTCAGCTTCAGTCGCAATTTTCTGAAAAAAGAAACAAAAACTGTATGCCAGATTATCTTGGAACTAAAGAATTAGAAATCTAAGTTAGGACGCCTGATAAGTCTTACTAATATTATAAATGCTAAATGGATGGATGTTTGTTTGAAGGTCCAGAACGGCTGAAAAAATCTCAATGAAATTTGACACAAATGTAGAACATAGTCTGGCAGAACATTTAGGCTAGAAATGATTTTTTTTTTAAATTCCGTGCGGACGGAATGACGGGCGACTGCTAGTATTTTAAATAAATTTTAAATCTACATAATTACCTTTACATTTTCCAAGAGAGTTTGCAACACGGCACTACCTCCTAGCAACAACGTCTTAAAACATGAGAAGTCACATTTATCACATTCTTCAGGCTTCGTGAGAGTAGTTGCCATTGGAGGACTAAAAATCGCGTAGGTTGGCTGCAATTGCAAAAATAAATCAAGTGTATGTAACGTCAGAAAAAAAATTGTTACGCTCACAAATTTTTGTACCTTGTATTTGTTAATTAAGTAATACGCATGTTCCCTTGTGACATTCAAAGAGGATTGAATTCGAGTGAATCTTAAAATCGGCGATAAAATTAATGTAAATATCGCAGACAACCATTGGACAGGAGAAGTAACTAGAGCACTCCTAACTGGTGTGGGGAACGTAGAGCTCATGATCCTAAAATCATACAAATTATTTAACATGTTAACGGTACATCATTTTATAAATAACTAGTCACTGGTCGAAACGCAGCTATGATATTACTACTTATGTATTCATTTATTTATCATATTCTTAATATAGTACATTTCATATATAAAATAAAAAATTATACAAAATAGAGCACCACCGGCTGCGGAATCGCTTGACTCAAACAACCAGTTGTCAGGGCTGCAGAGACAGGAACCTTCTCACGATGCTCGCGGTTTCTAGGATAACAACTGCTTTTTGTATCGGACCCTTAACTTAACAGTTGGACTTTTTAACGAGAGCTTCTTGAGATGTTGGTCGAAGCTCTTCGCTATCAGTCCATTCTCTGATACAACTATCGAAATAATGGTAGTCGATCTCATACGCCACATGGTGGTGACCTCGTGAGCCAAATCTAGGTATTTTAAGATTTTTTTTGTTTTCAGCTTTAACGAGATTCTCGTCATGAGGAATAGTGACATCGACTATTCCATTATTAATGCGAATGTTTAGATGGATGGATGTTTGTTTGTTTTTTTCATTAAGAGTGGGGGTAAACGAGCAGCGGGAACACCGATGTGTTCAGACGCTCAAGGTCATTTGTAATACCAGAGGCACCGCAAATTCGTTGCCGCCTTTGAGATGGTGATACGCCCGTTTCTTGAAGGACCATAAGGTATCTCCAAAATGGCTCAACAGATAAAATTTGGCATAGATGTAGAGCATAGTCTGAAAGAAAACAAAGCTTACTAATAAAGTCGCCTACGGACAGAGCCGCGGTCGACAGCTAGTTTACCATAAATTGGGAAATCCCATTATAATATTTGTATGCGTCAGTGTAGCATATTTTGGTGCTCCTGTTGTTCCGCTAGTTGAAAGCAACCAACACGAACTCTTCTCTGGATCAAGATCAGCAGCTCTGAAATTTTCCAAAAGTTTTGTCGAGAATCTTTTAAAATAACGAGAGTCTTTTATTATTTATTTCATCAGATATCTTTTAAACTCATATTGAAAAGAAATTACTTGAAAAAGTATTATATTACTTCTGCTTGATAATCCTGGAGAGATGGTTATAGTTAACTAGTAAAGAATTTAGAATACTTTGGATTACATACTTGAATTCTTCTACTGATGAATTGTTCCCATATTTTGCAAGGAATTCTGAAAAGCTGTTATATTTTCCTCCATTACTGAACGTAACAATTCTGGCATATAATTTTAAGTTGCGACATGCTTCCGCGACATCTTGCGCTTTTTCACTTTCACAAAATATTACTTTAGGTGATGTTATTGTAAAAGCATCTTCAAGTTCCTCTGAAAGTGAAATTCAAGCCACTATTTTTTTATTTATCTTATTTCTTTAACTACAAATGTAACGTTTTTAGTGTCCAGTATGATCTCTTTGACAGAATGCAAACTTTTTGCGTAACAAATAGGTGTAGTATATAAATCTTCACTAGACAAGTAAAATCAAGAATAACTTACTGATTCCAAGTGTCATATCCACACCGGCTACAATTAGCCCTAAATATAGAGCAGCGTATGCAGATATGGCCAAGTCATTATGGTTGGGAGCCATTAAGACTATGACGTCATCGGCTTTCAATCCTATCGCTCGGAAAGCGTTCGCGCAAGCGACAGACCTTTCTAGTGCATCTTGAAATGTGTCAGATTTACCTGTACCACCATCGACCTAAAGATAGAGTTAGAGATAAATGCCCTTTTTATTATTTGATTCTATATGTATGCCAAATAACATCGAGATCCGTTCAGCCGTTCAGAAGATACCTTCAAACAAACATCCGTCCATCAAACATTCGCATTTATAACATTAGTAAGATTTTGGTAATAGCTTTTAAAATGTATAAACTCCAAAAGAAACTAATGTTACGATTGATTTAGCATTTTTTTATTTGCCGACTATTCTAGAATTTTTTTGTGTCTATTAATTATTTTACTATATTTTTTACCTGCATAACGAAGTCGGGAGCATCTTTAAGGCTCTGCAGGATAAGTTTTCCAAGATGCTGTCTGTCTGAGGGTATACCAGTTTTAGCGACCACTCGACTCCCCAATTCGTTCAGATACCAAAACACGGCATCACTGGCGTGTTTGTGATACTTCATTATCCTGTAAGTAATCTCTTTGTTCATGGCTACGTAATAAAAGATTTATCAAGTATCTAGAATCAGGCATTCTTAGGTATTAGTATTATCTAAGAATGTGCGTAGATATATCAGGCAGACGGTCGAAGAGTTTGAAATTAAATATAAAATTATTAACTGTCGCCTGCAACTCCGTCCGCACGAAATTAAAAAGAAACATAATTAGTAGTCTAGATGTTCTATACGTATGCCAAGTTTCATCGAGATCCATTCAGTCGTTCTGGAGATACCTTCAAACAAACATCCATCCATCAAACCAAATATACGCATTTATAATATTAGTAAGATCTCTTGTTTGAAGACACGAGGACGGAAATTTGGTAACTCAATTGTTGACATTTTTTATTTTTTCAACACAAACTTTTGTTTACGCCTCCCTCAATTGTTTTATTTCTTTTAATTCCGCGTATGCCTACTTTGAATAGTTGTAACCAATATTGTAAGTTAAGAATTTTCTTAACCCAAAATGAAAAGATTATGACCATCTTAGCATTCCTTTAAAAGGATAAACAAATGATACTAATATTTGTACAAATACTCTAGTAAAGACATACCTTGTTTTGCCAATAATTATAGTATTTAACTATAGATAAAAAACGATTAGATTTAGACCACTTAAAAACGACATTAAACACACATTATAAAAAGTAAAAATAAACAATAGAATAAAACATACATAAAATAGAAATTGCGTCTTAAAATTTCACGATCAATGTATCCGTTTGGCTCTTCGCGGAGAACTGACTTTGTATAGAGAAATGTGTAGACAATTCCCATTTAATCACACGTAGTACAATGTCACACGAGTACGTAGTTAAGCGAAATAAAGGGGTAAAGCCAAAATGATACAGATAGAGCTGAAAATTGTTAGGAAATGTTTGGAAGACCATTGTATAATTTAAATTTAATTTTAGCTGTATTTACTTTCAGACTCAGTTCCACATATGTGCAAATTTTAGCGAGATCCATGCTGGCATTCAAGATATATCTTCAAACAAACATCCATTCATCTAAACATTCGCATTTATAATATTAGTAAGAAGTAAGATAAGCCTATATATATTATATATAACTAGCTGTTGCCAGCGACTCCGTCCCCGTGGATATATAAAAAACTTAACATATAGATAAGTTAAATAAAAAGCAGCTCTTCGAGGCATAAATTCGAAAAAAATGAACAAATAGTATCCTATGTCCGTCTCCTGGCTCTAAGCTACCTCCTTACCAATTTTCAAACATACCGGTAAAGCCGTTCTTGAGTTATAAACAGTGTAACTAACACGACTTTCTTTTATATATGTTGTCTTAAGTTTATCAGCACACTGAGACTACAGTTCGTATTATTGCAAAGTATCATTGCAGTCAAAACCAACCCATTTGAATGAATGATCCGCGCATTGCGAGCGCTCTCATCATAACTTTGTTTTCACGTCATGCATGCAGATGAACTAAACAGTATCGTAAATATTTATATATTGAGCGGCTTTAAAACGTGATACTACCCAGTTAGTTATCAGGAGGCGAGAGGTCGTGTGAACGATAAATATTGTGTCAGTTTTGATAACATCTAGTAGTACCGCAAGCAAGGTCATGTCAACTTTATCCAAGGACTCTCAAAGTGACATAGACCGAAGACCTGGCGGGTTAACTAAGGCCAGAAATAAAGTTACGGGTTTTAAAATTGAGCAAATATAATAATTAATCAGTAAAACAATGTTGTAAAATTCATTAGTGGTTTGATTCGAAACAATATTTTTTTTATTATTTTATTCAGTAGGAATAAATTAAAAATAGTTTTTTTTAATATTTCATTGTTCTTTACATTAAGTGATTCTCATTTATATAATCTTTGCATCAGTGGCAATTTTACTTAACTTTTTTCTCAAGTCTTCCTTATTTTAATATAGTTAAGCTGTTTTTGTTGTTTATTCTCTTGTCATACTTTTTGCCAACTTCTTCAACATGGCTCTGTTCACTTTGGAAGTCGACGTCAAAGGAAGTTCTTTCATGAAAATAACTCCACCTCTTAGCTGTTTGGTGTCTGCCAGTGATTCTGGAAAATATTTTCAAATTACTTTCAAATGTCCACGTATAAATTACAAGCGTTCATTGTACAAAAACGTGCTTTTAGACATTATTAATTGGCGCGAATGTCGCGCTTTCATTACCAAGTCAAGTATCAGAATGATTAGTGAGGGGACATAAAAGTCGACAGTTAGTGAGGCTAGTGTTGTGCCAGTACCGGCACAGTGTCGGATTTCCTAACAATAAATATCGTTATCTCTGCTATATTCAAAGAAAATGAGAGCGATGGCAATATTTTCATACAAGTTTTCAGTCGGAATACAGATACGCTTACATGTAAACGCGTTTATAAGTGACAAGCAAGATGCTTAATGCCATACCTTTAACCAGATCCTTTATCTCCTGCGCGGTGACTGTTGTGTTGTGTTGGGGAACGACGCAAGCGACAGCCAGGTCCCCACATTCATCGTCCGGGATCCCTGTGACTGCCACATCCAGGACACCTGGATGCTTGATAATCACTGATTCTACCTCCGTAGGTGATATCTGGAATCGATTACTTTATTTCAAATTATAATTTGGACTATTATATAATATAAGAAAGCTTGACTGCGTGCGCTGCTATTCTTATGTAGGAATTTAGGGTTTTTAATATTTATAATTTTTCTGCATAACGATATAAATAGTGTATTTTTTGTTAATATCAAAGACAAAACAAAATATGTAATCGTTTGTTTGTTTTTGAATTAACGATATAATTCCTGGTATATATTAAGGAAGTACGACAATTTAGAAAAAATATTATTACGTGATGATTGCGATATTTGAGGAGCATCTTCAGACGATCGACATAAAAGAAGTTCCAGTTCTCGTCTCTGTACAGAAGGTCACCTGTTTTAAGCCAACCATCTTCAGCATATGTTTCATTTGTTGCTTGTGGATTTTTATAGTAACCCTGAAGATCAAAACAAAACTATTTATGGTATTACCAGAAAAATAAAAACTCACGCCACCTTGCGGAAAGTCTAAATTAGAACGAATTTCTTGTACTGTCAACTGTAATTTAATTAGAAGTATAAATGCGTTCCCATGGCATGAACATCTTAAATTATTGTTATTCGGTAATTAAAACCGTCTTTCCTCACCTTAAAAGTAACAGGTCCTTTCAGCCAAAGCTCACCAGTTACATTTGGTTCCAAGATATCTTTCTGGGTCTCCGGATCAATTAACTGAAATGTCGATCGGTATTGAGTATTTTGTGTTCATCATAAAAAAATTATAATGAAGCTGACTGCAACTTACTCGACTTTCAAGATGGGGCATTGGTCTACCGATAGAGCCTGGGAAAGCCGAGACGAGGTTAAAAGCAAGGCCAGCGATTTCGCTGCAACCATATGCTACGAATGTTTCCGTTTCCGGTGTTATCACCTGGAAAAAAGGCTATATTTAAGTTTGTTTTAAGTTTCATATTCAAGACTTATAAAGTGTGTTACATTTTAATCTCCTTTGAGCCTTAAAAGTGAGAAAGGTTTTTTAAATTATTAACTCTTCTTTATTAATTTAATTCATGAAAACAAAGGGTTTAATTAGTCCAAATTTATTTTTAAAAATCTTTTTTTTTTTTTACCTTTAAATCATCTACCAACGTTTGAGGTACAGCACTGCCCCCTACCACTATATATTTGAAACTTGAAAAGTCACATTTATTACGCGTTTCACGCTTTGTCAATGATATTGCCATTGTCGGACTGATTATCATGAATTCTGGCTGAAATTAAAAAGAAAAAAATGTACTATAAATATGCAATAATAATGTTAATCTGAGTTAACTAAATCACAAACGCAGTTAATTTTTTTGTGAAGATTTCTTCATCATAGTGTTTAAAAATGTTAGTTATTCCAACAACTAAAATTAGGGTTTTTAAAAAAAAATGTTATTAAGGTAAACATTTCGCGGCAAGTCAGGACAATGGGAAAAATAAAATTTGTGAAAATCAGAAGTGAATCTACACTAATATTATATTCAAAAATTGTTCTACCATTTTCATAATTCCCTTATGGAATAACATAAAATAGATTTTTTATACTGTTAACAAGTTTTAAAATCAAAGTCTAGTCGTGCAAAGCCTAGAATAGTACCTTATATTTGTTGATAAGATCATACGTGTGTTCTGATGTGGTTGGCAGAGATGTTTGTATTCTCGTAAACTTCATCATAGGCGATAGAATAAAACTGAATATCGCTGACAGCCATTGCACTGGCGATACTATCAGAACTCTATCAACTGGTGACGGGAACTTAGAAGTTATCATCCTGTATATAATGAAAAATATAAGTATGTAACAAGGCGTAGCATAGAGCGTCGGTGGCTCAGTGGTCAAGCACTTGACTTGCAATCTGCAGGTCCTGGGTTCGAATCCCTCCATGTACCAATGTGTTTTTAGATTCCCGGTTTACATATGTACATTTATCCGACGTTCTTACGGTGAAGGAAAACATCGTAATGCAAGCTGCACATATCTGAGAAGTAATTGGTTGACTTTACACATATCTTTGTGTAAAGTCAACCAACCCGCACTTGGGCAGCGTGGTTGACTATGGCCTAATCACCCTTAACTTAGGGTAGGCTCCGAGCCCCTCAGTGGAGACCTATAGTGAGCTGATGATGATGATGAACAAGGCGTAGACAACGCATCTGCAATTGATGTCTATGCGCAGCGATCGCTACGCTATTTTGGCGTATTTAAGTGACCTCTGGCTCCTTTGCCACTTTATGATATAAAAACATGTACAAGAATCAGATGCGTTTTTTACTAAAGCAGACAAAAAAGGAAGCTTCTTCCTTCATTATAACTTAAAGGCAATCAACAAAAAAGTCCTACTTGTAACAAATTATATGTAAAGCAATAATATAATGTTTTATTTACCATACATAGGGTAGACCATACATAAGGTTTTTATGTGTGAGCGCAGCACATTTAGGTGTACCAGTGGTCCCACTTGTAGAAATTAGTAAACAGGTTCTCTCCTCCGGATCAAAGTCTGCTGGCCTGAAATATATCTTATAATAAAATTCTTTGTCTAACAATAGATATCTAGAGAACTATTTTTGCTTATTCTCGGTGTTTTTAAGTTAGTTGATTGAATAAATATATAAGACTGTCATCGCCCGCTACTCCGTCCGCTATGAATTTAAAATGACTATGTTCTACATCCGTGACAAATTCCATCGAGATCCGTTCGGCCAGTCTGAAGATACCATCAAACAAACATCCATCCATCTAAACATTCGCATTTATAATATTAGTAAGATAGTTTTTGTTTTTGTAATTAAAATTCGTACTTAAAATCCTCCACAGATGTTTCCCTTCCATATTTATGTATGAACTCCATAAAGTCACATTTTCCTCCTTTGTTGTACGTCACTATAGTTGTGTCTAAATTCATCTTCTTTATCACTTCCTCGACATCTCTTTCTCTTTCACTTAGACAGAATATTACTTTTGGTAAACATATTTCGAAGGCATCTTGTAGCTCCTCTAAAAAAAAGCAAAATGTAGTAGTAAAGAGATCACGAGACATGAATAAGATGGAAACGGAAAGTGACTAGGACTAATTGCTAGATCGATTTAGAAGACATAACACTTGTATTAACTCGTAGTGGGAACAAGGTAGACTGATAATAAGAAATTATAAAACTTACTGATTCCAAGAGTACTGTCGACACCTGCAACAATCAAGCCTAAATAGAAGGCAGCGTACATAGATGTAGTCAAGTGGATACAATTCGGCGCCATAATGAGAATGACGTCATCGCCCTTCAATCCAAACTTTCGGAAAGCATTCGCACAACCCACTGATCGTTCCAATGCATCTTGAAATGTTTCTGTTTCTCCAGTACCACCATCGATCTGCAAATATCCATTGAAAAGCAACTGTACCAATGTTTTCGTTAAAAAAAAGCAAAGTCCGATAATACGATGAATTCTTATTCATGTTGTGATGATTACTTGGTGATTATTTGTTAGTTGGGTATAAAACGAAGTGATTGTATTTTTTGTTAGGTTTCAAGGTCCGACTGACTGTACGTTAGATTGAATTAGATTACATACCGTACCTACATGTTATAAATATGTAAACATTTTTTTTGGACACAGTTATATCGTAGATAAGGCGGACTTGATTAAAAACAAAGATGACAAGACAATGCTGTGTCTATTAGGATGCGTTTCCACTGTCACAACAAGAGCAAAAAATATATAATCATTCCTCATTCTTGGTTTGAAAAAAAAAGAGAGCAAAAAATGTTTTAATACAAATGGCGTGGCAATTAAATATTCCTTATGGAATGCACTGTGAGTTCCAGCGTAGGTTTACACTTCTCCAGTTCTAATCCAGTGTTGGACTGGAATAATGTAAACTTGAACATACCTGCATTACATTACTCGGAGTATCTTTAAGGCTGTGCAAGATGAGTTTGCCGAGATGATGTCTGTCTGAGGGTATGCCAGTTTTAGCGACCACTTGACTCCCCAACTCATTCAGATACCAAATGGAAGCGTCACTGGCATGTTTGTGGAATTTAATTCTTTGTTTCATCCTTCCAGGATTATTTAAATCTATTGTTGATTCTAATTTGGTTCGTTATTGATCTGAGAACAGCTGTAAATATGTCGCCATTTAATTTATATCACAATTACATACATTTTAAAACTGTTCAATTATCCTTTATTATTGAGTTATAAGACTCTTCAATGTATTTAACGTTAGGAACAAACGTAACAGGTTGATTTGTTGCTAAGTAGTTACTGTCTAGTGTTTAAATACCGGAAGATCAAACAACATTATAGTAAGGTTATCTTTTCTTACAAACAGTATAACAGAAAAAAACCACGAAAATTAAACTTATAGATATATTTCTAACGTTTAATTTGCAATTCTGACTTAAAAATGATATAAACTCAATAGGTATGAATCTTTAGAATAAGCTAAAAAATACAACTGTTTACAAGCTCTAGTGAGCATATGCATATAAAACGTAGTTAACGTCCGGCAAGTATGCAAACAAGTGATGAATATGGAACATTCTGTTAATAGCAAGTCTCCGAGCATTGAATCTGCCTCTTCTAAACCTTTTTTCTTTGCGATACTTTTAAACAATATAATATGAAATTTAACACACACATTAAGGTTAATTTTAATTTATAAAATACTAGCTGTCGACCGAGACTCCGTCTGCGCGGAATTATAATAATACGTAGCTTATGTGTTCTTCTGGACTGTGTTCTACATTTTTGCCAAATATCAGCGAATTCCATGCAGCCCTTTTGGAACATTCAAACAAACATCTAAGCATTCACATTTATAATATTAGTAAGAAGTAAGATAGTACAAAGATAATTTTCCTTTTTTTTCTTGATTTGATTTACACACGCGGATAACTTCTAGATGGGTAAATTTATAACTAATAGTAATTTAACATTAAATATTGTTTTCTTTGAGTGTTACTTCCATATATAAAGTTTACTTACAACTTTATACGTTTGTCTTCAAAATAAACTGCGCACACAACACACAATAGACATTGTTGTTCTCTTGAGATTCCATTAAATACTGCGCTCAGTCGTGATCTCCACTTATGTAATGTTGACGATATTTTTTGCTTAAGGCAATTTTACACTGGTCGAAGTTAATTAGTTAAATTATTTAACACGTTCAGTGCTACCTACTCTCCCAGTAACTAATATGTTGTATTCATAAATCGTAGTAGTATTGAACGTGTACCAATTTTTTCTACGAAATAACTGACTGAGACGAAAAATCATGTTTAATACAAGAGACTATTTAGATTATAAACCAAAAAGCTCGACTCGACTTGTCCCGTATTTGTTACCTCACTCTTTATTATTGTGCAAGCGGTTTAGAACATACGACTCTAACATTTTATTTCGTTATTTAAACAATAAGAACTTGGAGCTGGTTTATAAAAGTTAATATTGCTCGCTATTAAACTAGTTGTCGCCCGCGATTCCGTCCACGCGATATTAAACAAAAATAAGTTCCTTTTGACTATGTTAAGTAGATAATAGTCAAAAGAAACTTACTAAGAAGTAAGAAGTATGAAAAGTTCACCTTTGTTGTTTTCTACAAGATAAATAGAGTTGTGTTAGTGCGTTTGAGTTAAAAAGTACTAAATACTTCGTAAAGAAAATAGTTTTTAAACCTTAAAATTGTAGTGTTTGAAAAGTATAGCATAACCTTATGATGAAAACATTTAGCCTCGTAATTTTTGTTGGCGAGCTCCCATAATATTTATTAATATATAAAACATGATGACGGCCAACAAAATTTTATGTGCTCGTTCCCACTTGACTTCCGACAATCGTGACATAGAAAAGACAGAAAAGTTCTTTTGAGACTTTTTCAGAGGAGTGCTAATGACCTTTATAATTTAGTGTCACATGCCCACCGGGTCAGATTAGTTTATCGGTCTATAGTGTCTTCTGTTTTCTTTTATCAAAAAGATTAAAGGGAATTATAACATGTTTTATTAGAAATGTCAGTGCACAGTGGGCCACATTTTGGATTTCATAGATATTTAATTTGATATTTAGTATCAGAATTTTTGCTTGAATATCCTTTAATGTTTAAAACATTAAATTTATTGAATACCAAGCCGTTCGGCGCTATTAAAATTGTTCAAAATATGAGAGACTAAATTGTACATAACAAAATCGCCTATAAAACCTCTTACGTTACAAGATATGTATTTCGTCATAAAAATCAAATTCAACCTAGAAAGGGACATTGAAAACATCATATGAAAACATCTATGAAAGCCTTCGATAAAAAATACATGAAATAATTAACGATGGTGAAAGCCTAAATCGTATTCTACTGTGCGGCAGTAAAGTTCTAGGGTAACAATATGTATGTTTGGGCGACTGTACACGGTTAATATCGACGAAGTTCATATACAACAGTGGGCTATCACGAATCGACGATGACGATTCGAAGGCCATTATCATAAATATTCGTGATACACGCACTGTGCTCAGCGTACGTCGTAACTTGGCAACTAATGTCATTATCTTGGAAAATTACAAATAGCTTTGCGAGTCATCTTAATAAGTTTGTAAAATTATTTTGATTAGATTGTGTGTACAAGTGTTCGTGTCGCTAATATAAATATAATGTCTCACAACAGCTACCTCACCGTTACTTGATAAAATATGTACATTAAGCAATCCTGTTCTGTTGTAAAAATCATCTCTTATCAGCAAACAGTTTTTATCTTTTCGTTGACTTGTTACTTTCCAAGTAATTACGAATCTTATTATATAATAGAATAATTTGGATATTCTTGTTTTGTATTTTTACGTGAACTTTATCTTTTATTTCTGTATAATAGAATATGTGGAAATTTGCCTTTTCACGCAGTCTTGCGGTAGGTCAACTTATACCAGTGATTCACAAAGTGAATTCCAATACACTGAGGTCCACAGACGAACCGGTGGATTCTACGATGACAGGAAATTAATTCCAGGGTTCAGAATCCCTCTATATACAATTCGTCCCTATCATTATCTTTGATAAAACACATAACAATATGTTTTGTACAGGAATACAAACAAAATATTACTGCTTCTTCTTCTTCTTCTTGAGATGCCTCTCCGACTAACGAAGGTTGGCGATCAGTTCTCCATATTCAAAGCCAAAATCAGTAAAACCGTAAATATAGGTACACAATTTATTTCCAAAGTACACTATTTGATATCTATATATATATTATTAAAATTGGAGATACTGTTGTTACAGTATCTCCAATTTTAATAATATATATAATTCAATTCAAATAAGAATGAAAAATAAATTTAAAATATTTTTGTCCTTCCGTCCGCAAGGTCACGTTTCTTCCAGATAATATCCGGAACAGTTGGATTGATTTTGACTTGATTTATATGGGAAGGTAGCTTCTTATACAATGTGCAAAGTTTCAGTTATTTTAAATGCAGATCATTCTGCTTCTTTCTTCACTTTCCCTACTATAAAATACTGAGGTGGTACTGTGAAATAACAAAAGGTTAAAATTACATTGTAAATTATTGCTATGAATTTCTTGCAGGCGTAAAATTTATTAGTATGAGCATTTATGACTTTACAGAAACGGTTGTACTAAATAAATTCTCCCACTATCAGCATTCATTTTTTGGTAGTAAATTGAAGTTTTTAATCATTAATAAATACTTAATTATGTTTTAATTGTATTGTTACAGTACTGCCTAGTTTTTATGAGTACGGGTTTGTACATTCTGACAATCTTTAGCCTAAACGACTAAAAGGATTTCCCCTGAGTACCATACACTCAGGTTTTTAAAGTTACCGTTCAATTAAAAACGTTCTCTTACGCTCGAATGATTCGCACATGTAACAAGAATCCAAGGCGACGGTGCAGGAACTTACGACTCGTACTATAAATAACGTAATGTGCATTACTGACAGTAAAATTGTCGTGACTAATATAAAAACCAACATATTACTACCATAGCACACGATTACTACTTAAAGAATCGAAGATTGATTTTAAACTTAGATATTTTCAATTTACTAAAATATATTGTATTACTAGAGTGTTTTCCGTTGGGTCGATGAGCCTAATAATTTCTGTTAAGCCAATTTTGTCTATTCAATAAAAAAAAACAATTTAACCGATTAATATAGGTAGGCAGATCAACCCAGCGGGATATCTTTCTCATTTGGCCTATTGTGTCTATACAAGCGAAAAAAGCATTGATCCGATTGATTCCATAAATGCGAACGGCCCAATGGGAAAATATCATTGGGCCGATTAATCGGATGATATCTCGACCACTTGAAGGAATTTCCGTATTCCTAATAATTCGTCAAAAATTATATTATTAATATTGTAATATCATTGCAAAGATTAAATTGTCTTATGTCTTATTATTATTAAATTAATTAGACATAGTAATAGCTATATTTGTACTTAACATATAATGGCGAAAATCCAGTTGACTTTCTCAAAGTTACATTAAGAAGGAAATCTTCGTTTTTTTAAGTATTTTGTCTTACAAACAATCTCAATGTCCTTCTCGTTCGTTTTAAAAAGACATAACAATTTGTTTTCGCATTTGTATTTTGGCAGTGGAAACTCAAAACCAGTTTAACTCGATAAACAAGTTTACGCATAGATTAAAAAAATATTAAATTTGCAATAAAAAAGAAGGAATTCGTTACAAAACTACTGTCTATAGAAAACAAGTAGCAATTAAACCGGTCAGGACGTAATAGACTTGTTTGTTGTGTTTTTCCTCTATTTACAACGAACTGTGTAAATAAAATTCCAAGCAATAATGTATTAAAGAAGAAAACATCTGTTAACAATTATTATAATTATAAAATTATTATATTATCTACACTAAGGGAAAGAATACGATTCGAATGACACTACGAAACTACGAAAAAAGTGTGAAAATGTCACAAATACCAATATGGCCGCCATGTATGAAATTTGACGTATCACAGTTTACTTAATTTAGGCTTTAAAATGGATACGGAGGATGCACAAATGCATACCTACGCGTGAAAAACTTCACCTCAAGTCAGTTGTAATCACAACGCAATATTATTTGTGAAATATGTTTACGGTTATATGGAAATTCATCACATGATGTTTAGTAGTGTTGATTATTTTTTTGTGTACTTTGAGACATTAAGACACTCTTAACACTGCGTTGTTATAAAATACAATAAAATAATTGTATGTAATTGTTTTTAAACGATTTTTAAGTTTTATTACAATTATTTTGATAAGATTAAACAATTTAATTTACTTTGTTGGTTGAAATAATGTTTTTCTACATTAAAGTCCGTACGATGTCGACACAATTAAAATTTTTGATTATAAATGTGATTTGGTAATTAACTGAATTTGAAGTTATGATGAGATATATACTTTAACTACAAGGTTATAGAGTAGTTATTTGCTTATTTTCCAAGTAGATGTAACAATAATATTTAGTTTAAATATTGTTTTACGTATAACGAAATACATTTCCAAATCGAGGACTACCTTATAACATTGCTTAATTTATTGACGGTTACCTTTATGTATACCTATTTTGGATTAATTAATTTATTACATTTAAACCAATAAATGCACCAACACTGAAAAGAATATCCAATTTATATGTTTTAATTAACAATGTGCACAAACTCACGCAATTTTATGATTCCACTGGCTGTCGCCGCTACTCCTTCCGCGTGGATTAAAAAACTTAATTAGTAGCCTATCTGTTCACCCAGACTATGTTTTACATTTATGCCAAATTTCAGAGATATCCCTGCAATCGTTCTTAAGATATCTTCAAACAAATATGCATCCATCCAAACATTCGCATTTATAATATTATTATAGTAAGATTGTTCACGAAGGTCGTAGATTATAATCAGTAAAAATATTTGAAATGCGAATCTAAGTTTTATAAAAACATTTAACAAATATGCCTTGACATGTTTTTTTGTAGTCGTTTCTCAAAATTACTGAATTTATACAAATTTTTATTTGAAATGCATAAATACTGTTGTTTAGCAGAATTGAAAAAGAATAAGTCATTTTGTTTAAAAAAGAAAAAAAAAGTTGCGACTTTATGCGTCGGATGAGTAATTTCATGTCTATTATAAAAAAAATATTTAACGTTTTATTAATGACATTACGAGGTTATGTTTCACGATTTTGTAATTAGATACAGATTAGGTTTACGAAATGCACGATTGTGGTTACTAGTTCACAAGAAGTACGACAAAGTTATATTAGCTATAACCTCGCATTGTCGTTGACGTGTTGTGTTTGTTGTTGGGAAAATATATCGCAAAATGGATCAGATTGTTGGAAAGAAATATAAATTGAAAACATCGGATAATTTTGACGAATATTTAAAATATATCGGTGAGTATTGTGTTTATTTGTTTTCAATTTTATTTTTAAATATATTTCCATTTAAATGCAAAATTCATATTAAGTTTTTATGTCATTTATTATTCTAAATAGGTTTTATATTTTTTTATTTTGTATTAAAATTATAATTATTAAATCTACGTAATTAAAAACAATATTTCAAAATTAATTTCGATTAATTTAAATCTCAAACTACGCATGCAAAAATCAACATATATTGTTTTTTTTTGCTGTATAAAGTAACAAAGGTCTTAATAGTCAAGTTTAAAAAAAATAAAACATTGTGCAAACAACAAATTATTGAATACGATTATTTACGTGGGAGTAATCTAAATATGAATTGTAAATACCGCAAATTACCTACTATAATAAATATGACGGAGTTTTCCATAGACTATTTCACAACTTTTTTGTTGTTTGACATTGACCATATTTATATTATTTTTTACTACCATCGCTAATATGTAAATATTTGGCATATATTTGCATAGTAGTTTAGGCTTATTTTAATAGGCAGAATAATGTTTTAACAGAAAAAAAAAGAATATTTTGTTTTTTTTTTATCAAGATAAAAATCTTCCCATAATAGGAAAAAGATCAAGTCAATTAGTCAGTAAACATTTGAAATAACTTAAGCATTATAGAATTATTCTGATTGATGTCTTCTATAAGGTCGTTTAAGTGAATCAAGGTGATAGTCACAAATAACCCTATCGCAGCCTTAATGGTCTTAAAACCATTAGCACGCGCGATCTGAACCAGGTTCACCAGATTAGGTAGCAAACATAACCTTTCAACCGCTGACGCAATCTCGAAACAAATGCTAACGGGCCTTGTGTAGCGGTTTCAACATCCCACGATACACTTTAAGGCCCATATAAAACTTATAAATAATGGTAAAAAGATTGTAAAAATAATTGACAACCATTGATGACACGAACAAACTAATTTAAATAATAAAATTATTACAGAAAAATATTAAAAACGTCATTATCGGTTAACCTCTTGCTAAATTGCGACTTTTGAAACGATTTTTTTTTTCAATTATTTTTTCAGGCGTTGGATTCATATCTCGAAAAACCGCAAATTCTGTGTCACCAGTTTGTGTGGTGACACAAAATGATGACGGTTCATATACGTTGGCTATGATGACAACATTACGAAATATTTACACAACTTTTAAACTTGACGAAGAGTTCGAAGAAGAAAGGGCGGATGGAACCAAGGTAATAAATGACATTTTTAAATTTTAAGGTGGCAAACGAGCTAGTGTCTTATAGACATCCACAATTGCAGATGTGTTGCCTACCTTTAATCGACTTAGGACGTGACGCACAGAAAGGGAATATTACCCCTCCCTATTCGTTCCGTGCTCCATCAAATCGACATCACCTAAACTCATCTCAAAATCAATAATAAATCTGAGGAACACGCACTCATGAGACGAAACACAGAATTACTTTCACGTTGCGCCTGTTCTGTGCGGTCGTGGTGTTGCACAGGGCGAGGCCTATTCGTGCAACAGATGTTGCTGGCGTTTACTACTGTTATATACTTATCGCCAATCTGATGTTCAATGATGGCAAACAATACGCGCTAGTTTATTAAATGCCCAATCATCGTGTGGTGGCCACTGAGAGCGGCAAATAGTTCTAATTCAAATCAATAAGAATATTTCAAGTTATGTACGTTTATAGCAGCATAATTGTCAAGGAGTATAATGTTTGGAAAAATGTAACTGTATGTGTTTAATATTTTTAGGTTAAATCAACAATAGTGCTTGAAGGTAATAAATTAATACAAACTCAAATAGAACCTAATGGAAGAAAATCTGTACACGTGAGGGAATTCACACCGAAGACTTTAACCGTGGTTAGTATTATAAGTAAATTTATTTCATGATAATAAGTCATGATAAAATTTTAACGAACAATTGCTATGAATATTTAATCAGGCGTTTCATGTAATGATAATGTGCACTAAGTTCGAATTTTATCAAAAGCAAGAAAATAAATAAATTTAAAAAAGATTTAGCAATTTCGATAAAAATCTTCGTTCTTTGGTTTAAAAGCACCTAAAGCCTTGATATATTTGCGGACAATCAGGTTTTTGCTTTTTATAGTAAATATTTTTTTGAATTTAGAATTTGGATAGTAAGCAATTAATATTTTAATATAATGTTTTCGATTTTCAGACGTCCACTGCAGAAGGATGGAATGGACAATGCATCAGAGTGTACGAACTTGTTGAATAATTAATTCTTTATTCGTTTATTTAGAATATTATGTTTATTTCATTTTTGTATCTTAAGTGTGGAGTATTGTAAATGTAAGGTTATGTTTTCATTTAATTTTAATTTAAAAATAAATAATACGATCTCATCTCGCGTTATATTTTGTTATGACAGACTTCTTCAAACCACCAAAAAACCAATAAAATTCATTGCATTTATTTTAATACTATTATTTAAAAAAAAAACAAAAATCAAAATGTTATTGAATGTACCATCCATATTCTTCTGAATTACTCAAAACGGATCCATTGTGTCCCCATAATAATCTATCGTGGTACTCGTCCATGTTTGAATCCAATTTGATTCCTTGATCATATTTTTTATTAATTATTAAAAACATTAACACATAATTAATCATAATTGGACACAAAATCCATTCAAATCTTTCTTCACTAGTATTTGTACCACCCCAAGCAAGTCTGTCACCGATTTTATTAGTTTTCACATCCAGTTTTAAGAACAAACCATGCTCTTTGTTCACTATTTTGAACAAAACACTGTCTTCCTTCAAAACTGGTAGAAACTTCCATTTAACTCGTTCACTTCTTTTATCTCTACCATCTCCCCAGGCTAATCTATCGTTGTAAGAATCAGTATGGGCATCTAACTTTAGAGCTAGATTGTATTTCTTATTCAAGATTACCACATACTCTTCTTTAAGTATCGTCTGAAACGCTACAGGAAAATAGTTGGTAACAATATCTTTACAATTTAAATGCCATAGTTGGTAAGCGTAAGTCATTATGTTTCTATTTCCTTCAACCAGCAATTTAATTATAACATCGAAAATCAAACTGCCATTACTACTTTCATTGATAATTTTGCTTTTCAATATTGCATTCTCGTAATTACCATCAACGATATTTTTATACAAATAATTACATAATTCTGGGATATTCAAATAAGCTCTGAAACTGTTAAACATCGTTAAACCTAACAATTTCTGTGGCAAAACAAATTCTTCACAGTAAATCATATTTTTTGCGCTTAAAACTTTTTCAAGAGTTTTGATATCAGTAGAATCTTCTTTCAAACCGAACACAACAACTTTGCCGACATCTTTACTGACGATTCTTGCAATATCTTTAGCACAACTTTCGTTTATAAGTGCACCCAAAACAGTAACAAGTTTTACGGAATCATTTTTGATATAACCACTGGTATCACAATTCGTGGAACTTACGACTGGTATTCGATTTGGTATTTTCCTATTTGTATCCGGACCTTTGCTCACTAATTGGTGAACATCGTTAATATTGTAACAATCAGCGAAACCTGTGTATCCTTCCGGGGCTGATATTTTTCCCTCGCCCCAATAATCAATGTGATCAACAAGTTTACTATGGGATATTGGTATTTTAACCAAATTATAATCACCTAAAAACGGCACTTCGGAATATGGATACATTTTGTCAATATTTTGATCGTAGTTCGGAGGTCTCGCATATCTCCAAGTACTTAAGGATGTCATTTTTATTTTGGTAACCTAAAAATATTTAAAAAGTGATTGGTCAAATGTACAATATCAAAGTTACACACTTGTTAGAGGTAAAGAAATTAAAGAAGAAATAAAAAATAAGATTAAGTAAGGGCATGGTATAAGGAGGAAAAAATTGCATGTGTCAAGGACAACTTTAAATAAACCCCTATTTACGTACTTTAGTACCCTTTACATCGTTAGGAGTAAGCCTCAGAAGAGACGGATATATCACGTGAAATGTGACATGCTTAAGCATGACTTAAAAGATTAATAATAACTGGATTTGGCCCCGCATAGTGTCTGATAAGGACTGGGGGATGTAAAATAATCTATAAACATCAGAAATAGATCAAAGTCCTGAGACTTACCGAGTTTGAAGCGTAAAATAACTGTAACTTTAAGTTAGATGTGACTTATGCGGCTTTTATATATATTAGTAATATTTCCATGGTGGTTTACTATCTGACCTGTTTAAATATTGTGGTTTTTGATATGATAACGGAATATAAAAATAACTGCAAAGAGTTGCAAGCGGTTGCCAACGACACCGACTGCAAGGAATTAAAAAAAAACTTAATAACCTATGTGTTCTTCCAGACTATGTTATATATCCCGGCCAACTTCCAGCGAGATCTATGCAACCGTTCTGGAGATACCTTTAAACAAAAATCCATCCATTCATCTAAACTTTCGCATTTATAAAATTAGTAAGATGTAGCTAGGCTAGTAACTCGCCCAACTTGTAACGTTTTCTTTATAATACACACCATCATCAGCTTTGTTCTATCGTCTCTACTTATCTATTTATATCATAACTGTGGACCTAGCACGAATATTTGTGAAGCGCTATCATATCATCATCAATATGCTGATACTAATTTTTACAATTGATGATAACGTTACGAGAGCGCTTGTCGCAAATATTCGTGCTAGACCCACTGATCATACAACCCAAACACTAAAATTATTTACACATTACTTATTAGTGTTATATTGTGTGCTTACTTTTTATCTTTAAGACCTACGACATTAACATCTTTAAGCAGCAATAATCCACTGATAAAATAAGTTTAATACGAGTCATTCTATAAGAGATAATGTTTTAAAACAGATATATGAACAACAATGAAGAAAAATAGAGGGGCTATTAATGAGCTATTCGGGGCTAACACCGGTAGTTGTTAAAGTCGAAGGAAATTAGAGGACTTGATTATTGGGCAGTGTAAATCAAGATTTCAAAAAAGCATAAGAAATTAAAGCAATGAGGTCATGAATAGACCGAAATTCAAAAAGTTTGTTTAGAAAATCAAGTTCCCCAGACTATGGCATGGGATATCACAATTGAGATGGAGGAGGGTTAAACCCCACGAGTGTAAAAATCTTCAAAATTATATCATACATATTTTTTGCTGGCATTATAAAATCTTATAGTGGTTTAATATGAGTAGATATGTAGGGTTTTTCCTGTTAAAATATTACCCCAGGAGAGTTAAGCCACCGTGATTATTGACGCTTATTTTGCTTTCAATTACCTATAATTAGGTCTTAACCTAGGGATTTAACAACTTGAAAGTTTCGCTCTTTATTTCGTAATCGTATTATGCAGTATGTACACACCTGTAATTTTTTATGATAAGATATGCAATATCTATATAAAATTGCTTATAAATACCGAAAATAAACTGTTCGATTATTTAGTAATCAAAGCTTGGTGTTACGTTTGGAAAAAATAATTCAAAATGTCCTACCTCGGAAAATTGTACTCACACGACAGAGATGAAAACTACGAATCTTATATTGAAAGTTTAGGTAAGTACCATAGTGATTTATCTTGTATGTTAATTTCAAAAGAGGAACCTAAACATATCTGAAAAGTCAAAAGTATTGTTTGAGTAATTGATAAATAAAAAAATGCATTTCCTACTGTAGTTTTATTAATAATATTTAAAGAAACAATCGCCCCACAGCAAAAATAATATTTTAAAGTACTAGCTGTCTTAAAAAATCGTTTGTAAAAAACCTTCATTATTTGCTATTCCTGGCTATAATTTATCTTATCCGTTTAGTCATTTTACTTGGTAATAAACATCGATCCGAATATTCACTAGTAAGAAGTAAGATAAGACAAACTACTTTGTAGGTCTGCCGGCTGATAAAGTGGCAAACTTGAAGAACTACAAGCCACAACAGAAGCTAGAGAAAAATGGGGACACCTACACGTTGACAGCTGTCAGTCCCGTGGGCAACCGGGTAGCCTCTTTTAAAGTAGGCGAGGAGTTTGATGAGACAGTCGCCGAGGGACATAAAGTAAAATATTTACATTACCGCTTATTTGCACAGTAAACCACATGTCCGGTTTCGATCCATGCCATGTACCAATTTGTTTTTCGATATATATTTATCCCACGTTCTTACGGTGAAAAAAAAACATTGTGTGTATAATTTTCGTCATCAGCTCACTATACGTCCCCACTGAGGGGCTCGGAGCCTACCCTAAGTTAAGGGTGATCAGGCTATAGTCAACCACGCTGGTCAAGTGCGGGTTGGTTGACTTCACACATATCTTTGAATTTCATCTCAGATATGTGCAGGTTGCACCACGATGTTTTCCTTCACCGGAAGAACGTCGGATAAATGTACATGTGTAAATCGGAAATCGAAAAATACATTGGTACATGGCGGAATTCGAACCCAGGACCTGCACATTGCAAGTCAAGTGCTTGACCCCTGAGCCACCGACGCTCTATATATTTTTTTTATAATTTTTATACATTTTCAGGCGAAGACTACATACACTCTTGATGGCAACACTCTTACTCAAACCCAAAAATTCCCTGACGGTAATATTTTGTACACCAAAAGAGAATATTTCGACGACAAACTGATAGTGGTAAGATCTTTTTATATTTGGAAATAATTTTTTAGTACCAGACATTTGATTTTCTCAAAAACCAAAATGGCAGTCATGTATAGAATTTGACGTTTCTATGTTTATTTAATTTAGGAGTTGATTAAAGTTAATAATATCAATTTTTCCATCAAAATCTTGCAGAGAAAACTAAAAAACAATGTTGATATTGTAATTTAAAATCGTACGTTTCATTTTAGACGCTGACGAGAACAAACTGGGATGGTACTGCTGTGAGATACTACAAAGCTTAATTTGATTTTTTTTATAAGCTAACTTTTAATATTTGATTAAAACCTTTTTAATATAAATAAAACATCAAAACCATCTTTGACTATTATTTACTATTACATACAAATTCATTTTAGTTAGGATTTGTAGACAAATTTTTGGTATTTATTGCACCCATGAGAAATATATCTTTCTTGTAATTTTCTGCTGCACTGAGTTCTTTAATTGTTAAAATCTGGATGTCTGAGCTTTGCTCGGTATTCTTTTTTTTAAATTGTGTTTTTTTGAAAATTATACTTAAGTACGAATTACTAATAAAATGATGAAATATGAATAATATTTTTCGATCTTACCGATAGAAAAAGTTAAGTTTATGTTTAAGTTGGTTATCGATAAAACATGAATAAATTGACATTTTCTAAAAATGATTCCTAGCTAGATCGATCTATCGCCCCCGAAACGCCCTTTATACTAAATTTTATGAAAATCGTTGGAGCCGATTCCGAGATTCCAATTATATACAAGAATTGCTCATTTAAAGATATAAGATTAATGTCGCCCTTAGTGTAGGATAATATGCGTAATTAAAATTAAGGTAAAACTTTAAAACAAATAAAGTACAACTCATTATTTTGTTTAATTATGTTGTAACAAATTCATATAAATATAAATCACAGAACACACAAGTAGGTTTCTCTGGCAATAATTCTAAATGTGCCAAACAACTACATCCCTTACAAACAATATAGTCATCATTCTCAATAGGGGTAAATGTTATAGAACAAAACATATTTAAATGTCCGTCAGTACACGAAAAACCATTAATTTCTTTATCACAACACTGACAAATATATTTATAATCTGTGGTTATTGATGTTATTTGAGGATCAATGAAGTTCGATAGTTCCATCTTATATTTTCCACAGTAATATTCCAAATAAGATTTGGCACCGGAAAGTGTTTCGAATTCTAATTTGCTTATACAATTTGTTTTGTATTTTGCATAATTTTTTTTCATAATTTCACTTGCATGAATAGCGTGTATTCTTTCTTTTATTACTTCCAATGATGTCTCAGGTAAAGATAATGTTGTTGGTACTTTGCAAAGTATTTCTAAATTATTATAAAGTGTTAAAATTATATAATAAAGTTTTAATTTATAAATGTCTGTGTCACCTTCTGACAATAATTTAGTGTAATCAAATTCAGGTAACATTCCTGTTTTTAAAGTTGTATATATTAATGCTTCAATATAATCCCAACAATTTGTTAATTTCTTTGTCTCATTAATGTATAGTTCAATCATTTCTGAATTATCAGTTGTCTTTTTTAATAAAATCAGATCGATTTTTAAAGGTTCTTTTCTCCATAGAACTTTTCTTTCTATTAGTGCAAATGTACATAAAACACCATTTGGAGAAAACCCAATAGCATGTAATTCTGAACTTGGATATGATTCTTTTATTTCTACTAAAGTTGTTTTTACATTAAATTTACTATTAATACAATCAATATCTATTTTAAATAATTTATTATTAATTGTAGATAAATAAAATTCATTTTTTAACTTTTTAATATCAGTAACTTTGTAATCAGTTAAATTTTTCACATCTTGTGTTATTAAATTTAATTTTTTATCAAAGATTTGTACTACAAAATGTCTATTTTTACTGTATAATAAAATTAAATTGTCATTTTCAAAGACATAATTAAGATTGTTTACTATCATTCTATCACTGTATGTCCATATTTCTTGTTTATCTAATGCTTTGATTGAATTATTTTCTATGTTACATACATAAATATATACTTTACCTAATATATTAGACTTAATAAGTAAGAATTTTTTATCACTTATAGGTACCCATTTTATGTTCATAATTTCTAATGGATCTTCATCTATGTCACCAATTATTTCTGCATTTAATTTCGAATTCCAACAATTTATTAACCAAAATAAAATTAAACCATTTTTTTGTGCAGTCACAAAATAACATGAACCATCAATATTTTTTTTGTCAGGCCAACAAATAGCTACTGTGGCTAAAGCATGAGCTATTTCTTGTAGTTCTTTTGAGTTTTTAGGAGTTACATTTACTTTTGCCAGTGATAAACGTTTCAGATTGTCCTTAATTAATGATGATATGTTTAAAACACTAATCCATTCTAACCTACTAGGACCAAAGACTTCAACACAACCAACATTGGTTAAAACAGCCATGACACTTTCCATACCATTAATAAACCCTGGTGGAGACCATTCGAAGGCAATTATGCAAGTCATTTCATTTAGTAGTTGATTATTATGAGGCCACAACGTCGGATCCATAACCATTTGGATTAATTCTGAATTTCTAACACCATTTTTTGTAACATTATTTTCAAATAATACAGATACTGGGCTGTATTTTGAAGCGGTGATTATAGTCTCTACATAATCAAGTTTCTTGTCGTATCGCTGCAAATTGTAAGGAATATCCAAAATGTGTAAACCTCGGTCAGTGCGAAATGCTATTGCAGTGTTATTACACACCATTTTAGTATCTTCGATTTTATTGATGTTGATATGGAGCTTGGTTATTTCATTCCACATTTTTATTACGAAATACCAATACTTTTATAAAATACGAGAGGGAAAATTATTAACAAATAAATTTTCCTCACTCACTCCACAAATAACAATATTTGACATTGACATGTTGTGACATTTATATTTTTTAAAACCGTAAATAAAAAGTACAAATGTTTACAAACACACCACGCCAAAATCATATTAAACTAATTATTTAATTAAAAATTATAACTCAACTCACTTAAACATGTAAATAAAACCACTACGGGCTTATGGTAAGAATTGTGAAGAAAATTTGTTTCTTATTATACAATCCGATCATTGTTATCAGAATAAATAAATAAAAATCATTTTAGCAATGTTACAATAGGTTTACAACATTTGCATCAAGCGGCTGATGGGACAAGTAAAAGCAAATAAAAAACGAAATGTTCCACTGTCAATGTCAAAATAAATCACTGAATAAAAGTCATAATACAAGCACGTTTTTGGGTTTTGAGAGGTACGTTTTCGTTGAATTTACAATTTATGCTTCCTAAAACAATTTATTTCTAGCAATTTTAAATGATTTTGCGTGTACGTCCCAGTGTAATCTAATAAAGATTTCTTTACAACGATGGGGAAAGCACGTCACAATGCAAAGGCTCGACAAGTTGTTAAAACAAACATTGATAATTCTCAAACAAGCGAGGTAAAACATTTTTATGATCAAATTAAATCACAAAAAGACTTGGGAATTCAATCTTACAAATCAATTATAATTGCAGATAAAATTAGAATTTGGCAAATCGGATTATGGCGCTTCGGATGCAAGCAATCTTTTGGCTCTACCTTCTAAAAAAAGGAAAACAAACATCATTAAAGAGAAAAAAGAAAAGACCAGATTTCTATCTAAAGCTCAACGGAAAAAGTTAGAAAAAATAGTTGAAAAGAAGAAGAAGAAAGAATCTGTAAGTACAATCATCCATTTTATACACAACACAGTTCAAATCGGAAGAGATACATTTTTAAATTCTTTCAGAGGGCAGCACTGTTGGAATCACTCTCTCAAGTCCAAGCTACTCCCGATGAAGTGAAACAACTAACAGCCATTTCTGCTGTACAAACTATAGGTCTCAGAAAGTTGAATGAGTTCAATACAGAAGTTACAATTAAACAAGATACACAAATAGATGAACAAAAGAAGTTCAGCAGCATAGCAGGTGATTATGACAATGATAAAAAAATATTATGTTAATTTTATATTTAACTAGCTGTCGCCCGCAACTCCCTCTGCCTGTAATTAAATAAAACTTTGTAGTCTATATGTTCGTCCAGACTATGTTCTATATGTATGCCAAATATAATTGTGATCTGATTAGTCGTTCTGGAGATGCCTTTAAACAAACATCCATCCTTCGATCAGAACATTCACATTTATAATATTAGTAAGATTATTGATGACCTTACTTCATAAGTGCAGTGTTACCCATTTACAAATAGTCAAAATATTAAGAAATACACTATCATATTTTTAACATAAACCAAATTATAAAGTAACAAAATTGCATCTGTGGATCCTCTGGCGTTGTGTATGTTCATGGGCATTGGTACAAATCATTTAAGAAAATCCACTGCTTCTGCTGCAAGATTTTTAAATAGTTTTTAAGATTATCTTGAACATACATTGTGACAAAAGATTTCTTTTTAATATAGATAAAGTTGTAAAATACTTATGTTTTTGTTTATTTATTAATAGGTGCTAAGAAACGCCTTAGGCTGTTAAGATTAGAAAATTCAGAGAAAGTAAAGAAGAAAAAATATGACCCCAATGTTGTTGGACTTGAAGAATCAAGTGATGAATCAGAATCATCATCAGATGAAGATGATGAACCAGCAAATGGTGAAAATGGAAACAAAGAAGTTAGTGCCAACAATGTTGAGATTGTTGAAAATAATTTACCCGAAACAGTACAAGATGTAACAAAAATAACTGAAAAATATCCTCCCGTAGAAGTTAAACAAGTTATAGTTGTTGAACAGAAAAAACCATTACTTGAACACCCTACGGTTCATATTGATGTGAAACGAGATCCAAAAATACAAGTGGCGAGGTTAAAACTACCAATACTTGGTGAAGAGCAAAGGATCATGGAATTAGTAAATGAAAATGAATTTCTTATTGTTGCTGGTGAAACTGGTAAGAAATCATGTAACAATGTAATTCCCCCCTCTCTCTTAAACTTGGGCAAGATCCCAAAAAGTACCAAGACCCGTAATAAAACAAAAAAAAGTCGGGTGGTTGAGTCATTTAATCAGTGTTAGTCGAAAGCACAAGAACAGAACAAAATGCTTACATGAATTTATGCAGTGCAGCACTATCATTACCACATTGTTGTTTGGAACGCAGGAACACTTATATTGCATATCTCATGTAAAAATAAAACATGGCTCCGAGTAGTACTACCGAGTAAACTAGACAAGTAGAAATTTTCAGATTTGGGCTTTGACTGTAATTACAGTTTATTTCTCAATGTTATCCATTATTACTTGTACTAAAAAAATTAGAAGACCTTAATTCATTACAATGTTATTGCCATTTTAATGCCTTCAACGATCTTCAATCAATCTTCTTATCCTGACTCAACTCTTTAGGTGTCTTGTCTTAGGTGCTGGTGAAGTAGTCCTCTGACTTTTTTTACTATATACTTTGTTACTTTTTTACAGGTAGTGGTAAAACAACTCAAATACCCCAATTCCTATATGAAGCGGGGTATGCGGAAAAGAAAATGATCGCAGTCACGGAACCACGACGTGTGGCCACTGTGGCCATGTCTGCTAGAGTCGGCCATGAACTTGGCTTAACCAGTAAAGAAGTTTCATATTTAATGCGCTTCGAGGGAAATGTCAATAAAGATACAAAGATTAAATTTATGACTGATGGTAAGTTTGCATTTTGCACTCAGATTTAAGTGAACACTTAGGGTTGAGTGTAGATTTGGTATTAGAAATATACTCTAAGGAATTCCTTTACTAACTAAATAAAAAAAAAATTGACTAAATAAGTTGCCATACCTAATAATTAATTTTTAAAATGGATCAAAAGACTTGTAATTATATTGTGGAGGTATTGCAGTGTATAAAAAAAATTAACCATTGCAGTTTTAATTGTTTAAATTTTTATCTAATATTTACTTATTTGAATAAATTGTATGCCTGAAAAATTATTTAAAAAAAACTTCATAATGACAAAGTAGATAATTTATGTTAATTTTTTTATAAGAGGTTTGCTTCATTTATAATGTTATTACGGGTTTGTGATTTTTTGTTTGAGAATAAAGCAAATTTAGATTTATACGGGAAGAACTCTTGATAGTTTCACAAAGTAAATTTTG